ATTCCCTCACTGAACCTAATAATTACATACAATCACAATTTGTTGTAAAATAAAATACATTTTTAGCATATTATGAGAGAATTAATTCTTCAGAAAATGTAAATCTAAGTCAATGGTGACTAGAAACGTTTTTTAAAAAAAAAAATCAAAATATTTTTAAATCTTGAAATGGTATTGAATCTTGGATAGGAATTAAATAAAATATCACTATAGCATCTCGGGGTCAGAATGACTATTCAGCATGTTGAAGTCTTTTATCCTGAACTGTTATGATAATAAACATTCTGGGGTTGGCAAAAAGGGAGGGAAAATCTCGGCACCCTCCTTTCTGGAAATTGACCACATAATATTACAAAATAAATAAATTTCCCTACAGTCAACATTTTAGTATACCAGTCTTGTCATCTAAAACATAGTAGCACTCTGGTTAGAGCCTGGGTCATGTGACTGTAAAGGCTGTGCTTTGCACAAGAATAGGGGAGGCAGGGAGACAAAAATTGTCTTATCAGCCTGCTGGTGCCCCATACCAGCCAAAAACATGGGGTGGAGTAAGGGGGAAAAGCCCAAAAGGCCCAGAAAGACAAAAGGTGAAAGCTAAAGGGTTATTTCTATCAGGGAGTCAAAGACTATGGCTTCACAGGTGCTCCAACACCAATATGGAGTGGCCACGGAAGAATGGAAAAGCCAATCAATGCCTTCTAGTCTCCCCACAAGCCTTTGTGATATGGTGGAAATCACGATGTTCCACCTGTAGGTGGCCACCAAGGCCAGGCAGAATAACCCCACAGCAAAGGCTGTAGGTGGACAGGGTTAGGGGGAAGGGAGATGTGAATAACAATGGGAAGATTTAAAGCTCCAGTGAAAGCAAAGGGGTCAGCAAGGGGCCAGATGCCTCATTCACCAGCCTTGACCACACAGCAGGACGCCCAGAGGCAAGCAAAACCCAGTAGATTGGAGGTTATGAGGAAGTTCAGATTAACTGTAAAAAGTAGAGGACAGTCTCCTCTTTCAGGGGGGTGTGGAGCACAATATGGGGTGGAGTGTAAGCTAAACATCCATGTTGTAGGTTATTTCCTGGAACTCAGGGGAGAACCACGGTTTTGTAGTACACAGACCTGGCTGCAGTTGAGAAATTCCCAAGACCTTTTTTGCAAAGTGAAGGGAAACTTCATTTTCCTTAAGACAAGATAGAAGCTCCTGCCTCCCTCAAACAGGAAGGAAATTCAGTGAGAGGACAAGCAAAGGATAGTGTCCAGGACCTAGTCCCACCCTCCCTTCAGAGCCGATCTGCAGTTTGCCAGGCAAATAAAGGAAGGAGAGTAAACTCTGGTCCATTATAGGATCCATAAAACACTCGGACAGAGAGTGTTTCACCCAAAACTGCAGTGTAGGACACGGGGCAAAAAATGCTCTAACCATAAAGGGTGGGAACATTACAGGCAGCATCCTCACTGGTCTTAGAAATGGCAAATTTGACTTGAACTGTTTTCCTTCCTTGTAAAATCTCTAGAATTTTAAGTGCTTGTCTGGAGACTTCTTTCTCAGGAAGGCTGACAAATTTTCAAAATCATCTTTGGAAATCATTCAAAGCGTCAAATTTGAGTAGCTTTTTGGTACCTAAACTGCATGTGCTTAAAACTAGCAGGTGTTCCCGTTAAAATGCTTCTCATTTTCACCTCTCCCAGCTCAACATGAGATTCTGAATATTCTAAAAAGCCAGAGGTGTTTCTTCCTTTTTAAAAATAAGAAGTTGACAGCTATCTTTGAAATGTTAATAGCAGGTGAAAATCTGTGAACATCGATTGTCCCTGAGGAATGGGGTTGAGCATGGAATTTACACTTTATACTGGGTGTTATTTAAATTAACGTGGGCCTGGATTGCTTCAGTAATTTTCTGTGAGCCTTTAGAAAGCAGAATTCTGACAAATGAGTCCCTTTTTCCACTGAAATGTACAGTCCCAGAGAAACCTGCAAATCTGTGACTGGTATGTGTGAGTGTATGAGGACTAGAACCCCTGAAGATAACTGATTTCTCCTGCCCTTAGTGGACAGTGCCCTTAGCATTCTGTTCTGTAAGGAGGAAAAAAACCTGTGGTATGAACCCGAAGTCTATTTCCAATTCCATAGCTGAATGGCTGCCAAATACTAGGAAAGTTATCCAAATCCCAGTTTAGTTGGTCAGTAGGTTACAGACAAATCTCTTCACTTCCCTAAGAGTCCACTCCTAATTTCTGTACTCCCCAAGAGATTAGAGTTCATGTTTAGGAGTTGGCCTTAAATTCTTAGCTGCCCCTCTGCCCGCTGGACTGTTCCCTTCCCCTCTAATGATGGTTTGCCCAAAACAATAAGGGACTCTTCCAGTAGTACCTGTTACAACAGGTGACAATATAAGTGGCAGCCCAAGGTATGCGGCTGCTCAGAGAACTCGGTGGCAGCACTCCCAAACAACCCCAGATAAAATATGAAATTAGTAAAACAGTAGTACTATCCTTAATGTGGATCATGGATATAGTCCTAATCTTAGGAAACACCATTAGGAAACTGGCAGTTTATTGCAATCTAAGTAAGAATAGAGTGTTGGCAGGCACATGCATCCTCAAGAGAAGTCCCACCTTCTGACTCTCTCTTCTTCCAACAGTGGCTGCCCCCAGTATCTCCTGGACACCAGCACTGGTTCTGTCCCTGGTAAATTCCCAGGTTCTTCCTGCTGGAATCCCCTGACATGGCCACTGCACATTCAGCATAGCCATCAGAATTCAGATAACAGGCCACAAAGGGAATCAGGCTGGGTAACTAACAAGGATGAGGTCTAGTTCGGAAGCTTAACTGCCCCAACCAGTTTCTTTGTGGGGATTGACTTTAAAGCTTTGCAAACATATAAAAGCATACGGGATGGCTGCCAAAATTGCCCCTAGCCATTGACTTGCCCGTTGAGCTGTTAAGCATGTGGATTAAATTGCTTCTCTAACCTGCAGCAAATGAGAAGGAACAGGGAATAGAAGGGCCATAGATTAGGCTTCAACAGCAGGAAATCATCTGACTTGGCTGCCAGGAACCAGGGAGATCCTGGAGATTTGAACAGACGATGCCATCTTCCCACATGCCTTTCTAGTCTGGGAACCACCATCATTTCCTTAGTTAGAAGGACATGATTCTTAAGACAAAGGACAGATGGCCATCCCATTCCAAGCATAAACGCAAATATGCGTGTGCACTCATGCCAGCTGTGTGTATGTCTTTACTTGCTGGCTTCCAGAAAGGAGCTCCTGCAGGCTGGCCCATCTTCTCTCCAGCCACACAAAATTTATATTGCTTCTTCAGCCTGGGACAGCCTCTTCCCGCCCCACCCCGACCCATGCTCAACAGGAAACCCCCTCGGACACATTTTCAATAAAATTACTGTCATTCCTCAGGGATCCTGCTGTCCATTCACCAGGCCCTGTATCACCATAGTCTCTGCATCTGGGGGAAAGAGCATGCTAAGAGGTAACAGTCACAGCTTATGTGACCACTGCTGTTCCAGGCGTCATGGATGATTCACAAGGAGGAGACTCAAGCTGGATCTGGAAGGACAGGCAGGAGCTAGTTCAGGAATAGGGGCTTAGAGTACAGCCCAGGCAGAGGCTTGGCAAGGTGCATAAGAGACACCCACTCACTGTACATTATAGGCGCAGGGGCACCCAACTCTATCTTTTTAGGGGTCTGGGGGTACTGGGGATTGAACTCAGGGGAACTCAACCACTGAGCCACATCCCCAGCCCTGTTTTGAATTTTATTTAGAGACAGGGTCTCACTGACTTGTTTAGTGCCTTGCTATTGCTGAGGCTGGCTTTGAATTCACGATCCTCCTGCCTCAGCCTCTGGAGCACTGGAATTATAGGTATATGCTACCACACTGGCAGCACCCAACTTGCCCCTTAATGCCAGGGTCTTGCATGTGCTCAGGCAACCATGCACCATTATTAAAGGGACATCCAGAGACCATTCCTGATGGAAAAGGAACTCAAAGCGTTCACACCATCAGTCTCTCCCCAGCTGAAAGACCCCTATACCTCCTCTTTTCATACCTTAGCCAATCCAACACCTCACCTCTAGCAGCCCACCATGACCTGACTCATCATGCTATCCCGCCCCCATCCCACTTCCCACTCAATCTAGCCCATCTCTACAAAACTGCCTCCTCCCCAACTCCTTCACTGTACAATATCCCTCACTAGCCTTTGTCATGGACAGCACTTAGGATCCAGTGTGGTAGTCACCTGTCTGCATGGCTGCCTCCACCAAAGAAGTCACCTGAGGCCAGACACAGTGTCTCTGTGTTCCTGAGGCCCAAAATGTGGCCCAGCTGGTGGTACATGTCCAGTGAATGGGTAACCAATGAGCCTCCTGCACCCATGGCCAACTTCCCCATGCCAATCCTGGTTGGATACTTCCCTCCTCCATGCCTTTCAGGCTAGCCCTATACCTGAAGTACCCTATCATTTTATCACCATATGAAACAATTATCCCGCACCTGAATAATTTAACAATAGTGCAACTACTCCTTGGGTTTTTGTTTTTTGTTTTTTGGTTGGGGGTACTGGAAATGGAACTCAGAGGCATTCAACCACTGAGCCACATCCCCAGCCCTATTTTGTATTTTATTTAGAAACAGCGTCTCACTAATTGCTTAGAGCCTCACTAACTTGCTGCAGATGGCTTTGAACTCTCAATCTCTGTGCCCATTTTACAGCTGGATGCATACTCAGAGATATTCAACAACAAGTTCAAGGTCACATTGCTGATAAATGAAGGAGTAAGGATTCAAACCCAGGTTGTTTGGCCATCCCTGAGGCATTGCAAAGGGTTTTATGGTCCTTATCCCAGCTTCATCTGAGGAATGAGCAGGAAGACATGCATATGATTATTCCATATACTAAAAGTTAATGTTCAACCCTAGGAAGTGGCTCTCCCCCTATAACAGGAGTTTCCTGCTCTGACCACTGAAACCAGATCAGGGAGCTCAGGGGCTAGGCATTTACAGTTGTCTGTGTTACAGGTCACTAAATGCTCCTGACTTCTCAAAAAACTGAAAGTTTCCTCTTGGGAGGAGCTGATTGTACTCTTCAGGACTTTCAGTGCTGCTGGTGCCCTGCCCATTGGAAAACGCCTCTCCCTGTCACTCTCTATAAATGCCGTAGTGGCCCTGAGGGAAGCCTTCTGCAGCACAGCTCCAGCTGAAGACTTGAGACTCCAGTCACCTCACCATGAGGCTTCTAATACTTTCCAGCCTGTTCTGTATCCTGCTTCTCTGTTTCTCCATCTTCTCCTCAGAAGGTAGGGCTGCCCCCCTGGGGTGCTAGTACCTGAGGTACTACCTGAATTCTAGTTTCTAGGAAGTTTCCAAACAGGAACTGTTGGAGTTCAGGCTTTGGCAGGCAATCCTGCACAAGACAGGCTCTTGCTCCTGAACCCATGCAGTGCCTCTATCCATAGTTAGCACCAAACAGGTGGCTTTGGGGCTTCAGGACCTACAATCTCTTTCAATAGCTCCAACTCCCCCAAAAAAGACAGCCTAGGTGAACCATCGCGCTTACATGCAAACCCAAGACCTCCCAGCTAGATTGCTGCACGTGAGTCCAACCTGTCTAGAAAATCTGGAGCCACTCTGTTGGATCTGTAGCATGGCTGGGACAGAGCAAATTAGTGCTGAATGAATAATTAATTAGTTGACTATCTGAATTTGAACATCCCAAACATCTTGCACAGGCAGATGGGATGAGGGTATGTATGAAATGGGGATAGATATGGGGCACATTTATACATGTTCAGAAGTGGGGAGCATGGTCTTTCCACCCTTGTGGATGTGAATATTTAGCTCCCCTGCCTTTCTTCATTTAGATAGCTGAATATTTGGGGCTTTTTCTCTTACCTGATACTCTAGAAACTACCAAGTTTGTTTTTTTTTTTTTTTGTCTCAATGGTTTTGGTTATTTCAACATTTATTAGAGACAGGGATGTAGAAATATGTAAAGGGGAGAAAAACACCCATGATTTCTTGATTCAAGAATAACCATGTTCTGGCCACGAATGGTGGTGCACACATGTAATCCCTGCAGCTTGGGAGGCTGAGGCAGGAGGATTGAGAATTCAAAGCTAGCCCCAGCAACTTAGTGAAGCGCTAAGCAATTCAGTGAGACCCTGTCTCTAAATAAAATACAAAATAGGGGGCTGGGGATGTGGCTCAGTGGTCGAGTGCCCCTGAATTCAATCCCCTGTATCAAAAAAAAAAGTATAACCATTTCAATATTCTGTTTATTTCTTTTCAGTCTTATGTGCATCTTTTTTTTAATTGCTAATATCTCTATATGGTCAATATTTGGTCTTTTTGTATTATAAAAACTTGTTTACTAAGACTTTAAACAATCTGTATGTGATGTTACTTCACTGGGAAAAAGCTTAAACCTTTAAAATACAAAACTAAGAAATGTATGAATGAGCAAACATGAAAAATGTTGCTGAACTGCAGTGGATAAATAACAGAAAACACAGCTGATGGCATTTGTTATAAATGATGGCCTTCAAGCCTTCAACTTAAAATCATATTTCTGACATAAGCAGAAATATATTTTTGGATATCTTAGAGGTCACCAATGCTACTCTAATGGCAACTCAATAAGGATGAATATATTTCTCCATAAAGCTTCCTATTATTCCATTTAGGACTATCTATGGCAGATCCCAAAATTGACATTATTTTCAATATATAATATAATATATAATATAATAGTCTCATGTATAATTTGCCATCAAGTGAGTGAGATAGCACAAATTTATATGCTCAGACATTTAGATGGTTCAAAATGTTGCACTGTAGTAAGTATATGTAAAAGAAAAAAAAAAAAACGTGTACATAAAATATTTCCTATACTTAGGATTCTTAGGCTAGATTGCCAGGGGAGACTGTGTGGAAGGGCATGGACATTTCTGGGCCACAGAATGGTTCTTCGGACAGGAAAATGAGGAGGACATATTCTGAGGGCATAGCCATCTTCCAACATTGACTTTATTATTTCTGAAAACTAAAATACAGCAAAGTTCACCCTTTCTCTCACATAGCCTGGCTCATCCTGAGTTTCCTGAACCTGGGTCTCCCTGCCCAGAACCACCCCAGGGTACCCCCAAGTGCACTAAAGGAGTGTCTGGGCTTTTTTGTATCCATCCTCAGGGAAAAGGCATCCTGCCAAGTCCTGGAAACTCTGCTGCCACAGAGTTCCTGCTCTCAACCTGACAACCCAGAAAGGTAAGTGCTCATACCTGCTCATACCTGGGGTTAGGGAATAGCTCCAGGGGGTCACGGAACAGGCCAGACACGTTGATCAGCCCCCACCTGAGCCTGGTGTGAGGCCCTGGTACAGAGGGGGCCACCAACAGGTATGATCTTTGCCTCCTAGAGCTTAGAGGGAACAAATTAACCATTTCAAACTGAACACATTCTATCAAGGAAAAGCAAGACGCAATTAAGAAATGGCATTGGGTGTACCTGTCCCTTGGATGGGAGGTGTCAGAGGAAGTGAGATTTAAGAGACCCCATGAAGGGCCAGGAACCCTGCCTCAGACCATGGAGGTTGATGGTCCAGAAAGAGGCAGCAGTGGCATTGAAGGCCTGGAGTGAGCTAGAAGAAGACATAGAACACAAAAAGGAGCTGGGGGGCCAAAGGTGCTTATGGAATCTACAAACCAAGAGTGCCCGACTGCAGCAATGTGGACCTGATGCACAGGCCAGCAGTGCAAGCCACCTGCGGGTGGATGGGGCATGCAGGTGCCAGGAGCTTCATCCTGGAGGGGCACATTGCAGCCCCCAAAGATGCAGGCTGCCAATATCCAGGCTCCATTCCTAGGCACCCAGATGGAGGCACCCAAATGGGCTCCGTGCTCAGGGTGAGGCCTGGAAGAGCAGATCTACCCCCATTCTAGGGCCCATGCTTTGACTCAATACCCTCCCCATAGATTCCAAGGAGGCCCCGGCCCTTCTTGTTTCTCTAAGGCTATAGCCCCCAAAGCCCATGACTAACACTAGAGCCTCATGCCTGTCTTAGCAACCAAGAGTCCCACCCACCCCAAAGGGAAGCTCAGATGTGGATAGGGGTGAGGGGTGGGGAGTGAGACATGACAGCTCCAACCTCAAGCTACTTCTCTCCAGACGCTGAAAACCTCTTCTTTCCAGCTGGCATCACACCCAGCTGGGGCTGGGTAAAAATAATCAGTTCTCACACGCACACCTCGCACATTGCAAAACCGCAAAGAGAATGTGAGGCATCTGCCCAGGCAAGGTGAAGGGTGAGCACAGGCTCACTGTAACTCTGCTCCCCCAGGCCTGCTGGGGAGGAACACTTCTATGAGTTGCAAACCTAGGCCCCTCTCACCCCTCCCCAGCATGGGATGCTCAGAAGCTGTCAAGAATAGACCATTGAGGGGTGGTGTTGTGCCCACTCACACACACACACTTACACACTACACATACAGAGGCACGCAGACACATACACAAAAACACAGACATACATACTACACACACATATATGCACACTACATACACATGTACATGTGCCACACATTACACACCCAGATACACGCAAACTCATACACACACACACACACACACACACACACATATACAAGTACACACAGTTCATAGGAAACATGGCCAGGTTCACCCTTTGTGCACAGTACAAAAGTAGTCCCTTTGTTAGTCATATAACACTTTGGAAAAATAACCTAGGGCTGTGACTTCTAAGTTGAGACTGAATTTCTTCAGGTGTATATATATATTTTTTTTAATTTCCACTATAGAAACATATAAACAACTTTTAAACATATTTCCAGGTCCTTACCATGTGATCGCATTTAAATCCTTGCTACCACCCTAGGGAGGTCTTGTCACCATTGTATAGATTGGAAAACTGTGAGGCCCAGTAGGAAACTGGGCAGAGCCGAAAGCCAGGCTCTGTGCACCTCTTTCCACTACAATTACCTGTCTTTTTCTGGGAGGGAAAGTCTCCTGTAGCATGGGTTGGACGACACAGCACGCCAAGCTGGACCGCAGACTTCTTAGATGAAAAGTGCCATTCCGGTTGGCATCTCAGCTCCCCACCCACTAGATCCATGTCCTTGAGCAGGTCCCCAGCCTTGCTAAGCCTCAGTCACCTGCCCTGTGAAAAGGTATGATAAGTGAATCTGCATGGGGCTGCAGTGAGGAGTCAGTGGGGCACTTGGCATCAAGCCTGACTCCCCCCTAACCCCCACTCTTACCATGGAGTTAGGCTGGACCCTGCCTGCTTCCACTGGGGCAGGAGAGCGATGATTCCCATGCCAAACACCAAAGCTCACGCATTCTTGCCCAGGCTTGAGGGTTCCACCCATTATCTTCCGGGACCAACACTGGGATTGAGAGAAAAGGAGGGAGAAAAATGAATCAGGGTGTTGTGTAACTGAGAGCAGGATTTTGGGGTGTGTCAGGTTCCTGGAATCTAGCCTCATGGAATCCAGCACATGGACATATGAAAGTGCCTGTGCCTCCATCTGCAGTCAAGAAATTAATACAGGGCTGCCAGCACCAGCTGTGACCCACACCTGGATGGCAGCTGCTCCTCATTCTAAAGCCTTCTCTGGGCACTGCTTTATATCTAAGTGCTGCGTGAAACTCACAGGAGTGTCGAGATATGGAAGGCCCAGGACTCTGGGTTAAGGCAAAAACCATCTCCAAAAATTAATGTGAAAAAATGGTGGATTTGATGAATTGACTCCATTTACCAATTTCCTGATAAAAAGTCTTTCTTAAAGATTTACAAAATTAGAGCAATCTATATAGCAGCATTGTCATAATATTTTTTAAACGAAACATTCAATATACTAACTCTGTCGGCTTGAAGGGGCATCAGGCACTGGCCCTGAGATGCAAAGCTGTTCTGGTTTAAACTAGGGTCAACTGATGGCTGCTTAGGACCTGGGGAGCCCTGTGGCAAGACTTGAGAGATTGCCCAGATACTGGGAGTCCCATGCCCCTCTCTGCTTCAAAGTTCAGCAAAATGATTCAACCCACAGTAGAAGACTCATGGTGGATGAGAGATTCCTCATCCACCTCAGACAGGAAGGACCTCAGACAGGAGGGACAAAGATTGCCCACTGAGAAACACATGTAGTGGCTTCAGGGTTTCAGCAACAGTACCAGAATAGACATGAGGACCCAGAAGTAGAGACCCTGGAGGAGGTGGACAGAGCCCTCAGCCCTGGGGACCCACCAGAGGGACTGCAAATCTGTGGTCTTGCTTCCTGTAATGATGTCCATTAACTGTAACTGCCTTAAAAACACCCCCAACTTGAGTGACCCAAAGCAGTAAGTTGTTGTTATTTTCCATGCGACTGCAGGTCAGCTAAGCATTCCTTCTAGTCTCGGCTGGTCTTGTTCATTCTTCTAAGGTTTAGAGAGGCAGCTTTGTGGATCTTGGCTGGACTCCTTCATGTGTTTGTGGGTTGAATAGCTGTTAGTTCAGGAGAGTCTTGTTGTAACAACTGGATTTGCTTCCACGTGGTCTTTCTTCATTCAAACTAGCCCAGAATGTTCACAAGAAGGCTGCAGGGATCCACCATTTGGGAATAGGAACGTGGAGGCTTCCTCAAGGGGAGGCTCAGAAAACACCCACCTTCATGTCCACCCCGTGCTATTGGCCAAAACAAGTCACAAGACCAGCCCAGATCTTAGGAACAGGGAAATAGATCCTGGACCTTGATGGGAGAAGTTGCAAGAGAAGGGCGGAGAATGACCACCTATTCCCAATCAATCAACTGTGATGTTTATTGTAGGACCCAACAATGACACTTGGGATCTACAGGTGGGGACAGAGCACAGAGGGGGTGGGCAGTGGTCAGGACATCATGGGCCATCAGAAATGCTGGTGGAAATACTCATGACATGGTGTCAATGGAAAAGAATAAGTTATGTATGTTCATGATTATCACCACAGAAAGGTGAAAGTAATTTCAAGTAGGAAGTAAAAAAATGGAAAGAAAATCACACCAACGTTAGCACTTACTTATGATTAATACATGAGGTTGTGGATGAATTATGAGAATTAAACTTATTTTTTACGTAGCAAGTGCTTATATAGCAGTTACTAGTTGTCGTATTTACATCTGCTAACACATCTAATCCTCACAATAATCCTAAAAGTCAGATGCTTTTACTATCCTTATTTTCACCGATGAGGGATCAAAACCCAGATAAGTTATGTAACTTACTAAAGGTTACACATCTAGTAAGTAAATGGTACAGCTGGGCTTTGAGTCCAAATAATTTAGCTCCAGATTCTGTTATTAACTTTCATACAACAGTGCATGTAGTAGTAATCTGGAATCAAGAGAGAAAGAAGAATCTCATTACCATAACTTAAGAACATTTCTCATTCATGTTTTCTTTGTTATTATTATGCAAAAAAGATTTGCCTGGCTTTGTTTTTATTGTACTTCACTTTAAAAACCTTTAATATTAACCATAATAAGCATTTTTCTTTATGTTGCTACACATTTTTTATAACCTCAGGGTTTCTATCATCATGAGTTATCATCACTAATTATCCATAAAGATCACAGGATACACTATTAGCAGCATTTTTTTCTGCTATTAAAAATAATATGAAGAATAGTTTAATGCAAGCAGTATTTCCTTTCTTGTGGATTGTCCTCCTGTAAATGGGACTGGTTTGCCAATGATGCAAATGCAGCTCTGGAACACATGTGGCCTGGCACTTGCTGCCTAGGAGGAGACAGTCTGGGGGTCCAAGGGCTGCACGTCCATGTGGCAAGCCCTCGGGCCACAGCCTTCACAAACAGGCCTCCTGGACCCAGGCCAACTCAAGTGTGCTGTGCCTGGTATAAGTCACCTTCTCTCCACCTTCTGCCAGTAAATCAGAGTTCCCCAGACTCCCCCAACATGACCGAAACCATCTGGGGTAGTCATGTTTGCCATGAAGGGCCCTTTCTCGGCCTCCCGTGAGGAGGGGAAGGTCTGATTTTTTGCTTTGATTTTTTTAAAAAAAGTTTGTGCTTGAGAATAAGTCTTAATTATGTTTCTCTCTCTCTTTCTCTCCCCGCCCCACCTTTGCTCCCCACCTTTGCTCCCCACTCTCTGCCTTCCTGTCCTCATGCCTCTACCCATTGCTCCTCCCCAGGAAACCGCATAAGGCTCTGCAGAGTGTGCAAGCTCAAGCCAATGTCACAGTCTTGGGTGGTGCCTGGGGCTCTCCCGCAGGTGTAGTGCTCCCAGAGCCAGGCTCCATACAGCTGAGATTCTTGTTCTCAGCACCAGAAACACCAGAACCCTTGGTTTGCCCCTCTTAGCAAGTGAGCTGTGATGTTGGAGAATGTCATCTAAGGCATCAAGGGCCCTGGGGAAGGTTCTGGAACTCCAGGTCCTGGTCCCAATCCTGCCACAGTCTGCAGAGCTGTTGTGAGCCAGGCCCAACCCCCAAGACTTCAACCCCAGGAGGTCCCTTTAGTGCAGAGAGTTGAGGATTTCACCATGACCTGTGGCACCTAGGGTTCCAGAAGCTTCTAAGTCTACGAGAATTCAGCATAGTAAGACCGAAGGGTGGTCAATGAGGACTGCAGAGTCTCAGTCATCCTCAGATATACTCCAATCCTGGCATTTAGTCACCAGCATCCAGTGACCCCTGAAGGAACCACTCGCTAACTTTCAGACATGAGTCTACTGGAAAGAAGACCCAAACTGATAACAAATAAACAAACAGCTAAAATCCATGACGCATCTTTTTTTGAGAAAATTGGTGATAGGGCCTGAGCCACAGCATTCCACTAAAATAAAACCATCCTAAAGAACATGCAGACCACTTCTCTATCACAGCACAACTTAGGTTGTGGGCAATAGGGACAGTAACCAGGTTCAACACCCCAAGATGCAAAGCCCAGCCCTGCCCAGGACTTTTCATGCAACTTGAGCATTACAGTCTCTTTTTTTGTATAAATGGAGATCACAGGACCTTCTCAGAGGGCAAGCACACAGGAGTAATGTCGCTGCCTTCCTTGCTACAGTGATCACAAGGCTCAGAGCCGTGGCTCACAGGGGACAGATGGCTCAGGTTTAAGAGGCTTATTTCTCAGTAAAGCTCCCTTCTAATCAGATTCTCCCAGCAAGGTGAGAAGCCCCATCCCCGCATCACCCACAGGCATGGAGGACACAACCAGCCCACCTGATGTGAGGGTGACGGGCACAGGTCCCAGGTGCAGAATGTGGGGATAGCAGTCCCCGGGCACATTACAAGTCTTTATCTTGTCAAGGCAGGATTTTCCCATCCCTTTCATAGATGCTCCTGGGCTCACTCACTCACACCTTCAGCACCCTATTTCTGGGGTTGGCAGTGACTCTGTGCTGGGTTCTCAAGCTCAGAGATAAACAGGGTCCTTTAACATTGGATAGGCAATCACCACTCCACAAAACTGTGAGCACCAGTGGAAAAATTGCAGGCCAGGTGCAAGAGGGGAGCGAAAAGATGGGCAGCTGACACATGAATTGAGTTAGTGGGACGGAGAATCCAGCTAAAAGAAGGAGCATGCATGTATGAGGTCTGTGTTGGGGGATGAGGAAGATGTGACGTGTGTTTACTGGGAGGGTATGTGTGCATGTGATACGGTGCATGCGCTATGTGTGGTGTGTTGTGTGATGTATGTGTAGTGTGTGGTGTAGGTGTGTGGTCTACATGGTTGCTGTGTGATGTATGTGGTGGGTATATAGTGCGTGGTGTGGTGTTTGTGTGGAGTGAAGAGTGTGTGTGTGTGTGTGTGCGAGTATGTGTGTGTGTGTACTTGTGGCCTATGGGTTGGGTTGGGTAGGAGCACACCAAGGGCTGGGCAGAAAGACTTGAGTGTTGGAGCAGAATTCAGTAACTGGACAACAATAGGGGGCAGAAGGGGAAGCGGAGGATCCGGCCTGGGGCACAGAGAATGACAGGCCATCAGGTACCTGGGGTTTTCTCTCTAGAACAACAAAGAACTAGAAAAGTGTGTGAGCAGGAGAGACCACAGGTAAAGGAGATTGAATGAACTGGGGAGGATAAGGCACCGGGGGAAGGCGGGGATGTCTCTGAACATGGTGGGGTGGCCTTGGTGATGCATTAGCTGGGTGGCTGTGGGGAAAAGTCAGACCCTCACCAGGCACTCCCTCCTTGGTAAGGCAGCTGCCTCACCTACCAGCAGTGGGAGCTGGTGGTCCCTGTATCCTTGTCCTTCCTTCTTCTCTTCTCTCCATGCCCACCCCTCCCTCCAGAAAAGAGGTAAAGAAAACACACACACACACACACACACACACATGACTTAATGCATGTGCTTGAGTCAACTAGGAGAAATGACTCAAAATCATGTGCCCCATCACAAAAGTGAGCCTCTCCCAGAAACAGGCAGAGTGAGGAAACACCAGTCCTGGAGCGTCAGCCTCTTTGGTAATTTTGTGTGTGGGTGTTTGTTAATGCACACAAGTAAAAAGAAGACACAGCCTGGCTCTTGGGGGAAGAGGACACTTTCTCTTGAGGACAAGAACTGCCATGCCATGGCTCAGCGAAGCTCACAGAGAAAGGGTGCAAGAAAGAGGCCAGCCTCCCAGGTTCAGCTGACTTTCAGAGCAGCCCACACTTGGCAAGGCTGTGGGGAAAAGGGAACTCTCATACATTGTTGGAAGGATTGAAAATTGACAAATTGGTGCAACCCCTCTGGAAAGCAGTATAGAGATTCCTCAGAAAATTAGGAATGAAACCACCATTTGACCCAGTTATCCCACTCCTCAGCATATATCCAAATGATTTACAATCAACATACTACAGTGACACAGTCACATCAATGTTTATAGCTGCTCAGTTCCCAATAGCCAAGTTATGGGACCAACCTAGGTGCCCTTCAACAGATGAACAGATAAAGAAATGTTGGTTTATATACACAATGGAATATTACTCAGCCATAAAGAAGAATGACTTTATGACATTTGCCAGTAAATGAATGAATCTGGACACATAGTGTCCATCACTTCATGCTAAGTGAAATAAGCCAGTCCCCAAAAACCAGAGGTCAAATATTTTTGCTGATATGTGGAAACTAAACTACAATAAAGTAGGGAAGGTGAAGAAAGAATGTTTAGTATATTAGACAAAAAGGGGAATAAAAGAAAGGGAGGGGGATAGGAATAGGAAAGCCAGTAGAATAAATTTAACATAATTTTCCTAGATACACGTGTGAAAACTCTTAAATGAATCCCACCATTGTGCCCACCCACAAGAATGGGGTCCTAACTAGAATAAGAATCATTCCATGCTTATATAATTCTATCAAAATGGATTCTGCTGTCATGTATAACTAAGAAAAACCAATAAATAAATAAAAGCAGTAACTTGAAAGGGAGCCGAGGACCCTATACTTGCCCCACCTCTCCCTGTCCCCTCTGTCCTTTGCCCAAACAGTAGAAAAACTTAGTTCTCAAAAGATATATTGAGTATCCAGGGAAGTCTTGTGCATAAGACATTCAAACACGGGGAGGAATCCTAAACATCTGTAAATGACTTTAAACCAATAAAGCTGGAGTTCTTACAATGCCCCGATGGACTCCTCGAGGAATCTAGACATGTTCACAGGATACAGTAGGGTAAAAGTACACAGTCTCCATGGCAACAGAGTGAGTCCATGGTCCTTGAAGTGGGAAAGGGGCACCTGGTGTAGTTGATTGGTTTCCAAGATAGATTTGAGGTTCCAACGGTGCCTCTTTAAGCATCCACTGTATGACATTGGGGGAGGTCAGGAAGCTTCTCAGAACCTCAGGTTTCCCACCTGTAAAGTGAGGCTAAGACTGCTCATCACAACTCCCAGTTCATTCTGGGCAAATGATCAGGTAAGCCGCCTCCCAGAGCCCTGCAGAGACCACGCTCCAGCTGGCTAGCATTCATTCACACAGTGACTCCGCTTACTGGGAACACCTAGGATATGCGTAGGTCCAGTGGTCTAGTTTGGTCTCCCTGGCAGTGGCGAAAACTTGCCAGTTTATTAGCAGCCTGGAAGTATGAAGACAGCTTCAAAGCAGCTAGCAGATACACCATCAACAGCTCCAACCCTGGAAATGGACTTTGGTGCACAACTGCCGTGTAAATTCAATTAAGCTGCACAAACCCTCAGATTAGCAAAGTGTTAACTAGAAAGATAGGAGGCATCAAGCTGTGAGATGTCCACATTGGGGAGTTCCTTTCCACATCAAAACACAACCTTTTTTGCTTATTGCTTGTTCAGCTCAAAATTCAAATATTCCATGGATGTGAACAGTCATATGTGTGAGCCATAGTTTCTACCACTCCCTATTGTCTTTCACCCTGCCAGTTTCAAACATTTCCATTTCCTGCCTGGCTCAGAAGCATTACAACATATATCACCTGGCTATTCTACTCTGTCAATTTATGGAAGGATGGGAGAGCATGTCAAAGGCATGCAGAGGGCCAGTGGTTAACTAGAACCAGGAACTAAAACTCCTGACATTCTTAGAAGACTCTTCGTTCACTTATTTCCTCATTCATTAAAGAAGTGAATGATTACTCCTTAAGGAGTATGGCTTTGATAAGTGTTGTCCAAAGATCCATGTGTTAAAGGTGTGGTCCCCAGCCTGTGGCACTATTGGGAGGTGGTAGAGCCTTTAAGAGGTGTGGCCTAGTCTTTAGGTTATTGGAGGCATGACCTCAGAAGGGGACCCCAGTCCATTCTTTCTTCTTCTCTCTTTCACTTCCTATGCAGGAGTGAGCCGTTTTGTTCCACTACCAGCTTCTGTCATGATGTGCCTCCATAGACCCAGAGCAACAGGGCCAATGGATCATGGGCTAAAAGCTCTAAAACTGGGAGCCAAAACAAACCTTTACTGTTTATAAGTTGATTGCCTCAGATATTAGTTGCAGTAGTAGAAGGCTGACTCACACAAGAAGAACCCACTGTGTCCCAGGCCCTTTGCCGAGAGTAAAGCAACCTATGAATTAAATACAGCCTTTCTCTGAATGGTTCACAGCCCCCTGGAGGAGAAAACCAAGCAGACGATTTCAATTCATTGTCCCAAGTGGTGACCAGTTCTGCTTGGGGATGGGGGCATACTGGGGGAAGAAAAACCCTCTGGAGAAACACATCTTCTTTGATGTGTTCCCTACCAGACTCAGCCATGCAGCAGACTTAGCTAACTAAGAAGACATCTACAGGGTAGAATTAGGCAAAGTCTGCCTACCTGTGTGAATGTCATGTTCAAAGCACTACAACATTACAATCCAGAAGTCAGTCCATGGGCAAAATGATTACTGGGGCATCACTGAGTACCAGGAAACAGTGGCAGAGTACCTCCGTTAAGGGGATAGGCAGGGCCACAACAATGGGGAAGGGATCTCATCCTCATTCCAGAGGAAACTGAAACTGTCACCCTACACCTGGCCTAGGAACAAGAGGGACAGGCAGAGGCTGACAATCTGCCAGACGGTCTCCCAGACTACTGGGGCAGAGTCAGAGACACTGCAGCAACTGTTTACCTACCCTTGCCTCCTCCTCCATCTGTGTTGTTGAATAGCTACAGCAGGTGCTCACCATCTTCTCAGCACTAGGGGGAGCCTAGAGAGTACCTGGTCCAACTTCTACATGCAGATGTGCATGCAGATGCTGGGCTGAGTGTCTACACATGGAGATAAGACAGGAACAAGTTTGTGATAACACATGAACAAGTTTGTGATAACACATGAACAAGTTTGCATGTGAATGGCATTATGTATGTTTATACAAATAGGTGTGAAAATGGGACTAGAACTCACATGTGTATATTTGTGGACAGCTGTGAGAATATGTGTGCACAAGTGGGCAAGAGACTATGGGTTAGCACACTTAGGAAGATCAGATAAGAGCAAAGGTGTAAAAGTGCATTTATGCCTGGGTTGATGTGTTGGCAAACAGCTAGAACATGTGTGCATGCCCAGGCTGGCAGCTGACTCTGTAATTCTCACTTATCAATATCTGGACCATTTGCCAGAGGAAAAGCTGTCAGAACCTGACCCAAAGATGACCTGATGACACTACAGATAACATGTGGGGAGGCCCAGGAGAGAGGGAGCTCCTCAGTTACCCTGCAGGGGTGGTAGGCAGGTAGAGGTAAGGGTGACTTGGGTTCCTGGGGCTGCTCAGTGTCTGCAGGGTGAAGACCAAGTCTTATAATTCATGGCAGATGAGCCCTTCCCACTACAGCAAACTGAGTCCTCCACATAGCTTCCAGCCCCACTCCAACCCCCACACTCTCCTAACCCCCACCCCCAACCCCAGTGTGCAATGTCAAGATCAAGATCTGTGACAAAAACTACCATGAAGCGTTGCTGCTTTTCCATGTTTTTAGGTGCTCTGAGGACAGCGCCAGATCTAGGGTGGCCACCCCATCTCAGGTTACCCCAGATTTTCCTGATTTTAGCATGGAAATTAGTGCATCCCTAGAAACCCTCAGTCACAGGCAAACTGGGACAGCTAGTCACTCTAACAGATCTGAGCTTATACAATTGGGACGGAGGCAATCTCTTCAAGGAAAAGACTATAAAGTACAAATATGGAAGGGATATGTGAGTAAGGGAGCTCAGAGTCTAAAGTTTCCTTAACTTCATGGCCATCTACATCAGCCATGGAAAGAGTTTCAACTTCGAAAGCAGTCCAACTGGATATAAATCCAACCTCTGCTCACTGGCTCTGTGGACCTATGCAAGTGACTTACCCTTTCTGAGCTTTAAGTTTTTCTTCTGTAAAGTAGGGACAATGATACCAGGAGGACTGTGTAGGTTAAATAAGGTAATAGGGGTGAGGATGAACACACACACATTTGCACACATCCTCATACACACACAGTTGGCATGTGACCTATCTTCTCTATTCCTCTCTGGTATAAGTCTGTTGACTAAGTGAACTGAGGACAGAGAATCAAAGGTCCCAAAGAACCCTATAGTGAAGAGATAGTGGACAGGACACAAGGAGAGTGGGCTCTTCTTTGTGTATGACAAGATGGCTCCTGGAAACTTTGGTTCTGCCTCCAGCCAGCCTCTGTCTTCTCATCTCCACATAAGACTTGAGGAACACTGACCTTGGCTTTGTCCCAGCATTTTGTGATTGAAAGATGAAGAAAGGTCTATGCAATTTCTAGAGCAGCTTTTCAAAATGCCAAGCCTGAGAGGATCCAACAAGATGAATTAATTGGGCCTGAAAATTTGAATGTCCTAGAACCATTATTTCATCTTCTCCCTCCTTCTCTCTTGAGTCCTGACCCTTGCTAATAGTTAACCAAGGTGGCCTGGCATAGGAGATGGGGGATGCCATGCTCCCTTAAAGGCCCTTGGAGGTAGGGGGTCTCCTCTACCTGAAATCACACCTTCTGAAGGGCATCCTGGAATGTAACCTGGCTTCAAGTGGCTGCCCTGTGCCCTCCTTTCTAACTCAGGAATGACACAGCCATGAGAAGGGAGTTAGGCTAAGTTTCCAAGCACACTCCTGTGTCAGAACAGGACAATGAGAGAGCCCAGGGAACTTTACTAGAAACTGGCAAGTTCCTGTCCTTACCTGCTTCAGGTAAGGTAACAATCAGCCAGGTATCAATCAGCCAGGGTCCCAAAGCAGTGCCTTGCTTTGCCTAAATATCCTGCAGGTCTGGGGAGCTCCCCTTACCTGGGCAGTCCATACTTGAGTTGGCCAGCTATATGCCAATCTACCTCAAGATGGGGTTTGAAATTGCCTGCAAACTATTTGCCTTTCCTCCGCCAGCTTGAAGAGTGAGTCAGCTGCTCCTCTATGGTCACCAGACCGTGCTCTAGGGATGAGAGTGAGTCTGCTGCCCACAACACACAACACATGTGATGAGACCCTCTGGGAGAGCTGGAGGGCAGGCAGGCATTCCTGGGATCCCAGAAAGGAGGCCCTGACAACCCTTCACCACCTGTTCCCCATCTTTTGGTCTCACCTTCAAAGCCTTTAGGAATGTGGTTCCTGGGACCTATTTAGATTGCTAAGGCAAAGCCTCCCCAAACCTCTCCATCTCTTTCTCCTCTCACTTCTCCTCCAGATATCCCTTTAGACCAAGTCTGGGCTTTTTTCCCTGCCCACTGTTTTGTCTTCAAGAATGCTCAAGAAGTCCTGAATTCCCTGAAACTCACAGAAGAAGTTCATGAAAAAGGAAAACTGGGGTGGAGCCCTAGCCCTACCAGGACTTGGGGACCCAAGGAAGCCCCAATTTTCCAACAGCCTTTTCAGGGCAACCAGGGGGAAAGACACTCCTTTCCCTCCATAATGCCCTGTCTCTGCACTTCGAGGCCCCTGGCTCCTGAGCGCCAGGCTTGAGCAAAGGGGGCGTGGTGGGAGGGAGGACAGTCCTGTCAGCCCTCCTGCGGGCACCTAGGAGCAGGTCCCTCAGCTCCGTTCCCACTAATTGGTCTCATTAGGCGGTGGGCAGGAGTGCTCTAGCTGCACAGATCCAGCCCTGTCATCCGCTTAGCGCCCTCGCATCACCCGGCACTCCCGCCCCGTGCCCCCTCCCGCCGCTGCCGCCGCAGCCGCAGCCACCCCCATTGTCGTCTCTGCTCTCCTCGCGGATCCAGGGCATGCTTGATGCTCCTGCTCCCGGCCTCGGCGGCGGTGAAGCTCACTATCCACCCGCGGAGACATGAGGCGCGGGCCGCGGGCCGTCCTGGCGCTGGGGCTGCTGCCCTTCTGCCTGGGTGAGTGGCTGCTGGGAACCTCCTGGGTGACAGGGAGAATGGGGGACGGCGCGACTTGGGTGGACTCAGGGACATCGTCCACTTCCAGAGTGAGACTCGGGCTGCGGGACGCGGGCGGGAGAAGTCCTTCCAGCTGTCTGGCCCGGCCAGATCTTGGGCGCTCCTGGGGCGCTTCTCCAGAGGGGTGGACCCAGATCCCCACGGTGTGGGGCTAAACCCTTGCTGCTCTCCCTTCCTCGGACGCAGGGTGGGAGATTGACTAACTACTTCGATGGCTTGGAGGGACAAGGGAAGGTATCCTGCCTTGCAGTATGACCTTGTCGGGGCACTGCCCCTCTCTGAACAAGAGTTTTCAGTCCTCCCTTTGATGGGGGTGGGATTGGGCGCCACCTCGCTCCTAAACGCCCGGATAACGTTGTGTCTTGGAGAAGCTGGAGCGCAGTCGGAGCCCATTGGAGTTGCGGGGGTAGGGGTGCACTGTCCGCGGCGCCCAGCGGGGATCCTCCGTGCAGCAGAAGTTGGAGAGACAGAGCGCTCTTCTTCGCACTAGTGGGGTCTGACCAATGCCACGCTGGTGCGAAGCTCTCCCGGGGTGTCTGGGGGATCTTTCCTTTCTTCTTTCTAGTCCAGGCCAACTTTGCCCCCCATTTCTTTGACAACGGAGTGGGCAGCACCAATGGAAACATGGCCCTATTCAGCCTCCCAGAGGACACCCCCGTGGGTAAGTAGCCCTAGCTTCAGCCCACCCCCACCCCCACGCCAGGTCTCCCAGAGAGCACGCTGCATTCCCCTGGATGCAGAGACGCAACCACGACTCCTCTGAGCCTACAGGGTGCCTAGCTCAAGGCTGCACATGCCCCTGGGGGATTCCTTGTTTGTCCTCCAAGTTCCCCAGGGCAATGTCAGGAAAAGAGGTCACCGCTGCCATGGCGACCTAAGCCGGGACAGTCCAGGAGACCGGGGAGAGAGCCTGAAGACAGGGTAGGCCCCTGGGGGCAGTCAGTGGTCTGCAACTTGGCGATAAGGCACTGCTCCTTAGGGGCTTTGTGACCTTGAACAAATATATTTACTTTCCTGAGCTTCAGCTCTCTAGACTTTAAAAAGAGCCACCAAGTTCCAACCAGCTGAAATATAAAGAGATAGCGAGGAGTAAGAAGAAAGGGTCTCAGCCCCTCTTCCTTACTCTATCAGCGTTGGTATTCCTAAAGAAAAGGAGGAGCAAGTTAAGCAGCACCTACCTTCAGAAATCCCTGAAGTCTTCCAGGTGACTTCCTGCCTTCAGTACTGCTCCCTTGTCTCCTTGCTTCCCCCACCCCAGGGATAGCCCTCCCCCTCCTCCCAAGTCTTGGCTGCAGAGAGAGAAGTCATTTTAGACAGAGGGAAATAGTCACTATAGTCAACTAGGCACAGCAGACCTGAACCTCCTCCATAATCTGTTTTACAGATTACAGTCAGCAAAGTGGCTGATAATAACATCTGACAGTTGTGAAGAATAAAAATAAAAAGTGGGAAGAAGCCAGGAAGGGTGAGACCAGTCAGGAGCTCCCAGTTCAGGGCAGCACCTTAGATGCTGAATTGAACATTCACTCTATAAACATTTGCATCCTTGGTTCTGAGCAGCTGCCACTTTCAGGATAAATTGGGTCCCAGGTTCTAGGTTTCCCCCACTGTGCTCCTTCCAGGTACCCATGTGTACACACTGAATGGGACAGACCCAGAGGGAGACCGGGTCTCCTATCACATCAGCTTTGACCCGAGCACCAGAAGCGTCTTTTCTGTTGACCCCAATTTTGGAAACATCACTCTGGTTGAAGAGCTGGACAGAGAGGTATGGGGATGTGTGAGAAGCCCTTCAGGGCTGCTCCTGCTAGAGCATGCCAGTATGTGTCAGATCCTCTCTGCAGACAGGGGACCAAAGGGGTTAGGGGTGGTGATGCTGAGGCTGCCCAAGAACAGCAGCTCTGCCTCTGGGCTGCTTTCCATTACAGAGGAGACTTTGCTCTCAAGGAGGCGGGGGTGGGGGGTGGGGGGATGGCACACACCTGTAATCCCAGCACCTCAGGAGGCTGAGGCAGGAGGGTTTCAAGTTCAAAGCCAGCCTCAGCAACTTTTCAAAATAAAAAATAAAAAGCTCTGGGGATCTGGCTCAATGGTTAAGCACCCCTGAGTTTCATTCCTGGTACTAAGAAAAAAAAAAAGAAAAAAGAAAAGAAAGAAAGAAAAAGAAAGGTGAAATGTATGCACTTTGAGGTTTCTGAAAGAAATTTCCTGCAGTGGTCTTTCCTGCAGTGGTCTTTGAAGCCAGTCCTTAGACAGATCCTATAAGCCATAGGGATGCTCAGCAGATCAGGACTGGAAAGAGTAGTTGAGAGAATGTCTGAGTTTGGAAAACCTCCTCCCTTCTGCAAACATCTGAACCTGCCAATGACAAGGTAGGGGATTCCTTTCCCTTTAAAGACCCAACACCAGGCAAGGTGCAGTGGCACACACCTGGAATCCCAGTGATTCAGAACAGAAGCATTATAAATTCAAAGCCAGCCTTTTTTTTTTTTTTTTAAGGGCTGGAGATGTAGCTCAGTGATAGAGTGCCCCTTGTTTCAATCCTCAGGACCATAAATAAATAAATAAATAAATAACCCCACAGCAGGCTGGTCAGCCTAGTTGGCCACATAACTAGACCTCAGCTGTGGGGCTGCTGCCAGTTCTGCTTCAATGACAGAATCCACTAGCCTCAGGCAGGATAGAGAAAGGGAAAGAGGACTCAGTGACTACTGTGGAAACAGCACTCCTGGCACCCACAGGGATCTGGTGACCTTATAGACGTCACACAATGTCCTGGGGAGCTCTTGAGACAACATGGGCATAGACCACTGCAGATCTCTGGGATATGGAGAGGTGCAGAGAGATAAGGGAGAGGTAAAGGAAAAGGAAAGAAAGGATGTCCTCTTCTTCCAGCTAACCAGAATTGGCCTCTCCTCCCACTCGAGCAGGAGAGCATTTTCTGTTGGGGCCCCATCAGTTGCTCTGGGTCTATGAGAACCCCTGATACATAAATCCCCCAAATCTCAAGCCTGGCAAGAGGCAGCTTTCAGCCACACTGGGTGCACTGCCACCACCAGGCCCTGCTCCAGGGCTTCCTCAACATGCCCAGGCCTCCTCTGATGGTCCAAGAAAAGCTCCGCTAGCCCCAGCATACCCAAGGCATGTCAGATTCCCAGACACTCACTCAGTTCCTGTGCTTCACAGAGGGAGGATGAGATTGAAGTCATCATCAGCATTTCTGACGGCCTGAACCTGGTGAGTGCGCTCCTGAGCTGCCCTAGCAACATGTAGCCTTTGGGCCTGAGAAGGGCATGGTTCCTCCCCTAGCCCACTTGAGGGTTCCTGTAAATCCAATCCAGGGTCCAACAAGACCTGCCCAAACTGCCCAGAGCAGAGAGCTGAGTGAGGTATGGAAGAGAGAAGCAAGGTGGAGAGAACAGAGAGCAAGTTATCTCCACTGACCTTCTATGGGTCTAATCCACATTCCATAGCAACTCCTCAACCCTGCGCCCCCATCTGCTCCACTTGCTGGAGCTGAACTAAACACTGACCACCCAGGAGTTCTTCTCACCTGCCTCACACCCACTGGCCCCCCCAGCCACCCCAATCCACACCCAAAGTGCCACCAGAGACATCGCTGTGAAATGTAGATCTGAACACCCCTCCCCCAACCTTTGCTTTGCAACTCTAAAAGCAAGTGCCAACAGCTGGCTCCCACCACCCTCAGGATGAAATCCAAGCTTCACTCAGACATGCGGGACCTCCCATCAGGCACCATCTGCCTTGCTCAGCTTCTCTCTCTCATCCATGACTTAGCATCTCCTCTATTCTCTGAACTCACTATCTCAGTCCTCTTTGCCCTTGCACACATGGCCCCTTCTTCCCAACCCACCACCCAATTCTACCTCTTTCCTCTGGCCAATCTGCTACAGGGATTAATATTCACTCCTCTGAGAAACCTCCCTACTATCCACCACCACAGCCCCAGCTAGCTGCGGCTTCCCAGGGCCTCTAGATGCAGCACACACAGTCCGAAGGGATGCATTTACACAGGCCATGGTGCACCTGGTGCCCTTGAGGGGTTCCATGCAGGGGAGAATATGCTGTTCTTTATCCCATATCCAAGCCACCATGGCCACTGCAAAATAATGTACCTTCAGACTGTCTGCTGTCTCCAGAGTGGAACACAGTGCTTGGCATTAATAAGATTTGTTGCATTCAATAAATAAAAGAAGAAAGGAAGGGAGAGAAGGAGAGAGAAAGAAGAGATGGGTAGGAACATATACTTGGGGGTATTAGAGGCCACCATCCTTTTAACCCCCAGAAAGTCTCACTGCCCTGACTCCTGATCACTCTGCCCTTTCTTAGGTGGCAGAAAAAGTTGTGATCCTAGTGACAGATGCCAATGACGAGGCACCCAGGTTCATCCAAGAGCCTTATGTCGTCCTGGTTCCTGAGGTAAGAGGAGCCACTGGACAGGGAAGACACCCCTCCTCAGGCCCACAGCCTGCCTGCTAGAGCTGCTGTTTGCTCTGGCCCAGGGAACCAGGGCCTGGAGTGCAGAGCACCTGTCCTTCCCTTCACTTGCTGCCCTCTGGAGAGCCCACGCCTCTGTGTCCTCCCCTACCTCTGCCTCCCTGCCCTCCCACATTAGGTTTTATTCCCAAAGAATGTCTACTTACCGTTTTCCATTATAATTAATGCATGTTAATTGTAGAAATGTGTAACTTATAGAAAAGTAGGAGGGAATAGTTTTGAAAATCACGCTCAACCCCTCCAACCTGAGAACATGTTACATTTTAGTGTATTTTCTTTTAATTTTTGTGTGATGATAGGGTTTTTTTTTTCATTTTTTGTTGGACATAATTGTGAACATAGTAAACAAATGCTATCAATATCTTATTTTTCACTTTATTTAGGCCCTAGAAATTTTCCTCATTCATTGAAAAGTTATCATTTTGAAAGCTTCCACCAAGTGAACAATCCATCTTCATTAACTCATTTCTTTATGCTTGGATATTAAAAATTTATATTTTTGATATTATAAGAAATATAAACCTCTGAGCATACAGGATTTCTTTTCTTTAATTAAGATTATTTCCTTAAGGGGCTATGGGTATATTTCAGTGTTAGAGTGCTTGCCTAGCATGCTCAAGGCCCTGGGTTCCATTCCCAGCCACAGAAAGAGAGAAGGCAGGAAAGAAGGGAGAGAGGAAGGAGAGAGGAGGAGAGAAAAGTTATTTTCTTAAGATAGAACCCCAAGGTTTGAAGTTACTGGGTCAAAAGCATAAATACCTGTATCCAAGGTGCTTTTCCAGGTCACCTGTTCACTTCCTGCCCTACAACATAGAGAAGAGTTTGTCTCCCTGACCCTTGTCAACACCAAAAATTCTCAAAGTTTAAAATGTTTGCTAAGTCAGCAAGAGAAACCAATTTCATTCTTGTTCTGAAGTCTGTGTGTGGGGTCCCTGGTGATCCTAAGTATGTCCATGTTTGTAAACCGTGTCCTCATTTGCAGATTGCAGTTTCATATATAAACCCCTCATCTACTTGGGATCTTGGTCCTTCCGGTTTCTCATTGGGCACCCCCAGTCTCTTGCCATGTCTTTCTCTCCCCCGTTCCTCCTCATCTTTCCTGCGTTCAGTTCTACATGTCTCCTCCGTCTCTGTCCTTCCCCCATTGGAGGCTTGCATATGTCATTGTTACCTCTTCAGCCTCTCAGTCCCCTGACCTCACCACTTCCCTATGCCTCTGGCCCCTGACCCTTCCCTGTGGCTGTGGCCCCTCAGGACACACCTGCCGGAAGCAGCATCTTCAAGGTCCATGCAGTGGACAAGGACACTGGCTCTGGAGGGAGTGTCACCTACTTCCTGCAGGTAAGGTGGGATGCATAGGATGCACCCAGGGTTTGGGGCTGGAGGGGACACTTGGACATCCTTCCTTCAATCACCAGGAACCTTAGACCAGTGCCCTCTACTGTTCCCAAAGAGCATCCACAGGACTGAGACAGACAGGTCAGGACCTGAGAGGGATAGCAGGCTTCTTCCTGACTCCCCCATCCTAACTTCTTCTAAGTTGGCCTGTTCCCACCCACTCCTATGAAGACCTGTGACCCTTAGTCCTCGACTTCCCCAGAATCCTCCCCAGGATAAGCCTCGGACACTTTGCACCCACACAGGGTAGAAGAAACCTATCTGGGACTACAATGGTCCATAGAAAAACGGGCAGAGGGAACAACTCTCAGAATAAGAGCTACTATGCCCTGACCCCCACCCTTGTCCATCGGTGCTGCCATGACAAAGGCAGGGACCCCTCCCCTATAACCCCCACCCCTATCTGTTCTCCTAAAAGCCAACTGCCTCTCTGACATGGCTGCTGTTTCCATGCCATTTCCTCTTCTCTGCATCTGGTCACCCACCCTGACAATTTTCAGTGTACAGCTTGGTATAGGTTCTGAAGAAACATACCTTCGACTCCACATGGAATTGGAGAGATCCCCCACTTACCACTATGTACTTTCAACACGTAACCTGAATTTTCTAGCTCAGTTCCCTCACATGTAAAATGGGAAAGATATCCTCACTGAACAACTGTGAGGATTAAATGTACACAAAACTCCAATCACAGCACCTGGCACTTAACACCTAACCCTGTGGCCTCCTGAGCACCCCCACCAGAGGTTAGTGCTCCTGCTGGCCTCCTGCAGACTGCTCATCATCCCTTGCTGCTCCCAGCAGGAGCTGCCCTGGACAGGCACAGCCCTTACACGTGGTTTGAAGGTCCCCAAGGCTCCCTCCTTCACCATGATACTGAAACTCCAATGCCCTCTCAGAGTACCATCCGCACGTTTCTACCTGCTGGTAACTTCAGGCCAAGGATGAACCCCATGTTTTCCAGCTGAGCAGAAAGAAAAGCTAAGGCCCTGCTTGGAGAGAACATTCTGGTCTTGACGAAAACTGTGGGAGAGAAAGTCCTAAGCACAGTCTATGAGGATATCCTGGGGGCCAAGAGGGCTGGGTGCCCTCAAGTTGGAACCTCAGCCCCCAAACCAGAGTTCCTTTGACAAGGGCCCATGAGAACCCTTCAGAGTGAACATTCCTGGGCAGCCTGGGGTCCTCCCTCAGGTCCAGTGCCTCCCTGATTCTTACAGAACCTGCACTCCACCACATTTGCCCTGGATCACCACAGCGGAGTGCTGCGCTTGCAGACCAGAGCCACTCTGGACTATGAGAAGTCCCAGACTCATCTTGTCACTGTGATTGCCAAGGTAACAGAGAGTGAGAAACAGAGGAGCATCTAGTCTGTCCTAAACTTTCCTGGAACACAGTGAGGTTGTGCAGCAGGAGGGCAGTTTGCAGAGCAGGAGGCATAACGGGAATTAAGGAGGGAGGAGAGGCAGCTACTTAAAATCTTTTGTCAGGACTTATTCTCTGGGGAGCCTGGTGCCTATGGCATGGAGAGGCCATATGCCCTTCCAGGGGAGAGGATATGACCCTTCAAGACTGATGGCCAGGATCAGCTAGGTAGGACCAAGTGATCCCCTCACTCCCTTCACAACCTGGCCTCTGGTACCTTCCATTGGTCTGCAGGCTTGCTCACCCCACTCCTCCTCTTCATGTGAGCAGTTCCTCTCTCTGAGCCTCTGTTTCCTCATCTGCCTGCTCCAGAAGTTTAACTAAGTTCTTCACATTTCTGAAGTGCATGGTGTGGGAGCCAGGAATCAGCAGGGCTCAACCAAGCCTCTTCCCCCTAAGAGCAAAAGCTATTCCACTAGGCCTAGAAGTTTCTTTTGCAGGAAGCCCTTTACAGGTTACATATTGGCTAGAGGTCATCCCACTACAGCCTCCATCAGGAGTTCCAAGTAGGGCCCACCTACTGGTTCCTCTGTGGGGGCTCAACTCACTGCACACTTCTGTTAGGCTTGCTCAGGATAAGGAAACAAATCCCATGTGCCCCCATGGCACCCAACTCAGGCTGGACCTGTCATCGCTACTCAGGTGTTCCAGGCTTGGTTTTGGGCTGGGAATGGGAATTTAGCCCTGACCTCCTCCTCCTCTGGCACTTGCTCATATGAGGTCCTGGAAAAAGAACCACTCCTGTATCCAGAGGACCCTAGTGCACCCCAGACCCTGGTTGAAAACCTTCATGCATCATCTCATTTAATTTCCCCAATGTCCTTGTGAGAGGAGAAGTAACTGCATTGACACAGGAGCAAACAGAAGCTCAGAGAGGGCAGATGGCCCCGCAGCCAGTAGATGGTAGGTGCCAGACTCCTATGGAGTCTATCCCACTCCTGAGCCCAGCTTGTCTTCATTCTCCTTCTGTGGTCCTGGTTTTTCCCCAGGATGGCGGGGGCAAGCTTCGAGGGGCCGACATTGTGTTTTCAGCCACCACCACTGTCACAGTCAATGTGGAGGACATTCAGGACATGCCTCCTGTCTTCGTGGGCACACCCTACTATGGCTACGTGTATGAAGACACCCTGCCGGTGGGTGGCTATGCCCCTCAGCCAGTGTCCCCTCCAGATGTTTCCTTCCCTGTCCCCTTGTGATTTCTTGGGGCCCCATGCTGAGGATGCTGGACTCACCCTGCTCCCTGGGAACACCCCCTTCATACAGAGGCTGGCTCTGGATTAGGCTCAGCCCATGAACCAGGAGGAGGAAGCCCATACCAGTGTGGAGCATGCTTCTGGGCGCTGAGGCTATGCCAGGCAGTCCTATATTCATGCAAGTTTACGCCAGCCTGGCTGCAAATGTCAGCCCCTGGAAAGGTCAGAGAGAGAGGATGGCGAGTGGCCAACAGTCTTGTTTGAAGTGGGGCCTTTCTTATACCTTTGGAGGGTGAGGTTTCCTTTGTGCCTCCACAGCCCCAAGCGTATAGCCTAGGGACCCTCCAACCAGCATTTCTTCCATCATCTGCTGTGTGAATCACGGTGACCCTTGTGAGGCATCCAACCCAGGTCCAGCTGGAAGGCCAATCTCTACGTCCTTCGCACGTAGTCAAATCTCTGCCCCTGGTGCTTCAGCTATTGTTCTTGTGTTCTGGTCTGTGGGTGAATCCCCAGTGGTCAGTTTCTCCAGGCTGGCTTGTGAGACTTAGCCTCTCTGCCACACCAGGAACCTTACTATCCTTTGAGTACCCCACTCCATCTTACTACATCATTTGATGCCCCTCCTCCTCAGTTCAGCTCCGGCACTGCCGCACATTTGGTGTAAGATGTGGGCATCTCCCCTCTGCTCCCATAGCATGCCCGGCACACCCCACTTGAGCTCATCCATTCTTGGAATACATCCATGTATTTAAAGTGCCTCCCAGCTGTACTATGGGCTCCCTGCAGGCAGAGCAGTCCAGAGCCAGACCTCAATTGGCCACAGTGGATGCAACAACTCTGTGCAATTATTTTGCCTTCTCAACTTTCACTTTCCCCTTTCCCTGATTGTTCCCAACTCCATGAAACAAAGAAACTGAGAACATAGAGCTGGAGACAAGCACAGAGAACGGGAGGGAAAAATACTGGCTGCCCTTAGTGCAGGCTGCAAGATGGGTTGGGAGAGCCCCAGACCCACATGCTGAAGAGCTAAGGGCAGAGAGAGGTATTGAGGGTCAAGGCTTGGGGTTGGCTATGGAGGGAAGGCAGCAGCTGAACCCAGTTCAGATGTAGCCCTGAGTAGTCAGGCAAGAGGGTAGGTCCCAAGTAAGGTACTTAGGGGCAAGGTCAAACTGGACTTTTTCCTCTCAGTAACCCATCTCCAGGGGCCATAGGATAAAGTACAAAGTGTGAGATGTTGCATCTAAGGTGCTCTTGGGATCCACCCCTCTCACCTCTCCCTCATGCACCTCTAGAGTAGAGTGAGGGCAAAAGATGGAGGGGGCAGCAGGGTGAGGCCAGAGAGTGGGGGACAGCAGAGTGAGGCTGAGTGTGGCCTATGGGACTGGAGTCAGTCTGGAGGCCTGAGGGTCTCTGGGCAGCCCATGCTATAACCTTGTGGGCCAGGAAAAAGGGAGGCTCAGATTGTCCCTCCATCCCTGGGAGGTCAGTGAGTGCTGGAAGCCCCCTGCAGAGTAGGGCAGTGTCACAGTTCAGGGCTACCCAGAGACCTGGTTCTTTTCCTGTGTGGGGGTGGCACTTCCCTTCTGTGATGGGGAAGTTTCTAGGGAGGGGGAACCCCCAGTGTCACCATTAGCCTTAAGCAACTGCTTCTGTTCCCCCAGGGCTCAGAGGTGCTGACAGTGGTGGCCATGGATGGAGATCGGGGCAAACCCAACCACATTGTCTACAGCCTCGTGAACGGTGAGTCTAGTCTAGCTTTGGAGCTACAGCTCTGACTCTTTGGGTGACCACAGAAAAGTTCCTCCACCTCTCTGGGTTCTGGTTCCCTTACCTATTGAGGTCTGAGGGTCTCTAGGCAGCCCATGCTATAATCTTGTGGGCCAGGACAAAATGTGGTAGAGAAGGCCAACTGGGCCCTTCAGGAGGTGACAAATGTGCTGCAGTCTAGCAACAGCGGGAACAGTACTGGGGTCCTGAGAGCCACACAGTCCCCACTGATTCTCATTCCCTTCACCCTGAACACACATTTGTGAATGGCGATAAGTGGCAACTTTTCTTTTGTGTGTGTGTGTGGCGGGAGGTGCTGGGGTTCGGAACCCAGGGGCACTTTACCATTGAGTCACATCCCCAGACTTTTTCATTTTTAATTTAATCTTATTTTGTTTTTGTTTTGTTTTGTTCTGTTTTTTGAGACAGGTTCTCACTAAGTTGCTTAGAGTCTCGCTAAATTGCTGAGGTTGGCTTCAAACTTGTAATCCTCCTGCCTCAGGGTCACTGGGATTATAGGCATGTGCCACTGCACCTGGAGGGTGGCAACATTTCTTATACTCTTGGAATTTCTGTACTTTTTTTTCTCATTCTTTTAAATATTTGACTAGAGCATATAGTTGAATTGAATAAATAAGCACAGTGATGATATGGTATGACCCTAGTACTAGCCCTACATATGGATGAGGAAACGGAGGCTCAGAGCAGCTAAACTGGCACCCAAGTCCCGACCTCTGGATTTAAACCCAGGTCTTTTAACTCTGCAGTGTGCTCTTTCCACACCTGGGCAGCAGCTGAACAGGCTGCAGTGTTCCTGAGGTGGTCTCTGCAGCCCACAGGAGGCCAGGTCATCACACCTGGAGTCTGATTCCAGATGTGCACATGTCTTTACACTTTCACCCAGAGACTACCACCTCCCACACCCTGTCCTAGGACACATCTGATACACACTTGCCTTCCAGCACCTCACACCTGCATGAACATGTCCACCATCCCAGACAGGCTCCTTTCCCCAGATGCACAGACATTGGGCACCTTCCTGCCCCACCACCACTGCAGCCTTTTCCCAGTCACAAGGCACAGCCCAGCCTCTGTTCTTGCTTCTCCCTCTGCGGTTCCCCACCATCTCCTTGTTCTTTCCTCGTTCTCTCCACACCCTCAGTTTCTTCCCCTCTTTCCTTCTCTCTCCTCTTCCTTACCTCCCTCTGTCTTTATCTCCTTTTTGTTCCCTTTCTCTGTCGCACACACACACACACACACACACACACACAGTATCATGCATAGGAGAAGGGATACAGTATGGAACCTGAGAGCCAGACAGAAGTGAGTTCAAGCCCTGGTCTGCACTTGCTGTGTAAGCTTAGATAAGTTAACTTGGCCCCTGTGAGACTCAGTTTCCTCATTGTCAAGACACAGATGAAAACAGTTTTGCAGTCTACAAGGAAACCTCCATTAGCTAATGCTTGAGAAGCGAGTGGCGTGACTCCCCTACACCCCCCTGTGGCCCTGTGCTGAACTGCAGGGGACTTCTCTGACAGGTAGTGATGGAGCCTTTGAAATTAATGAGACATCTGGAGCCATTTCGGTCATGCAGAGCCCTGCCCAGCTCCGGAAGGAAGTGTATGAGCTGCATGTACAGGTAACCCCCTCTAGCTTTGCCAGTCCTGCCCACTCTCCAGCCCTGGAGGGCTACCAAGGCAATGAGACCCAGGCCCTCCTTGATCCCTGGGGCTCAGTCTGAGGAGGGAGCTAGATGTTGCTACCTTGGGCACCTACACCAGATTTTAGCTCGTGTGTGTGTGTGTGTGTGTGTGTGTGTGTACACGCGTGCACACACAGCAGGAATTATGAAAAAATAGGAAGAAATAGGACTGAAGCAGCAATGCCTCCAGCACCAGTAAGACCCAGCAGGTGGAGACTGGTGGAGGAAACCATGGTGGATGAGGGTAAGTGAAGATATTACAAGCCACAAAATCCCTGGAAGCCCAGGCTGGGGACAATAGCACATGATATAGTAAGGAATCAAGAAGGAGTCAAATGAGATTGGAGCAGAGTTCATAGGCAGCATGCAGAAGAAGGAAAGTAGGAATCCCAGGTTGGGAACCAGAGCATCAGGGGTCTGAATGTGAGGTATGGGTTTTCTCTAAAGCAGGGCATGTGACTTGTGCAGCCACACAGAAACTGTGTTTAGGAGGGTCCCACACTAAAGTTAATTCTCTGCTGTTTACTATCTTCAAAGTTCCAATAACTTATGATGTTTTATTGGATCTTCCCCAAAACAATGAAGAGCCGTTGAAAAGTTTTGACAGTCTCATGTTGGAAAGCTCATTGTGGCTACTTGGTAACTAGTTGGGTTCCAAAATTTGGAATGTGGGATCCTCTCTTAGGATGGGAATTCAGAGTGTGTGTCTGTGTATGAAAGGGGTAATCCCAGGACTCTGGTTGTTATGAGCACTCGGGGGATCCTGGCTCCAGTGCTAGCCAAGCATTTGAGAACTCAATTAGGATCTGAAGAGAACTGAACAGGACACAGAAACACCATTCAAGGAGTCAGCAGAAGAGGACCTGTAGAGGTAAAGGGAGGTGGGATGGCAGAAAGGGACAAATTGCAAAATACAAAGTGGTCAGATGAAACCTAGATGCTACCATCAGGAGCATGGGAGAGGCTACATGTTAATTAGGAAGGAAATGATGAGTCTGGGTGCCTGGAGGACATTGAAGGTGAAACATCCATACCTGGGCATGCAGGTTTGGAACTCAGAGGAGAGAGTGTCCATATTCACTGTGAAAGGCACAGGAAGGAATGAGAGCACAAAGGATGGCTGTGGGAAGAGAGGAGCAGTTGGCTAAGTCTACATCACAGGAGCATCAAAGGAGGCACAGGTGAAGGAAACCCAGGAGGGATCAGAGAGGTTGAGGATAACTTGCCAAGAGCAGAATCACATTTTCCAAGGGAATGGAGCCCTTGGGAAGGTGCAAAGGTGATAGCGTGGAGTGCAGCACGGAAGGCAGTGTGAAGTATCTAAATGTGGGACAGGTGAGAAACGAGTGGGAGTAGGAAATGGAAACAGAAGGCACAGGTGTCTGAGAAGGGAAAGGGTTAGGAGAGCAGCCAGGCTGTGAAGGAGTCATTTTAGGAGAGTGACCTTGTAGTACCAGAGCATCCTGATAGAAAAGGGAAAGGAGGCCCTGGAAGATATTTGCTCAGATATTTGCCACATTATTAATGAGATACTATGGACCCTCAGCCCTGGTTTTTCAGCCTTTATTAGTTATCCAATGCTTCATGACAAATTACCCCAAACCCAGAGGCATAAAACAACATACATCCATACTCTCAGTTGGTGTAGGTCAGGGGTCCAGGTTCTGTTTGACTAGGTCCTGGGTTACAAGGTCACTTTCATGGCTATAGTCAGATTGTCAACCAAGACTGGGGTCTCATCTGGAGGCTGGAATGTAGAAGGATTGTCTTCCTAGCTCACATGGTTATTGACACTACTTAGTTCCTTGATGACTCTTAGCTAGGGGTCACCTATTGTCTCATGGGCCTCTCTCCAACATAGCTGCCTCCTTCATCAAAGCCATCAAGGGAGATTCTGCTAGTAAGAGAAGTTACAATCTCATGTAATCTAACCATGAAGTGATAGCCCATCATCTTTGCCATATGCTGTCAGTCAGAAACAAATTGCTAGGTCAGACTACACTTAAAGAAAGGGGATTATACAGGACCATTGGGGCCAACAAGAGTCTATCTGCCACAAAGCTGTAGCCACCTCTCCCCACCCCAGGTGACAGAGATCAGTTCTGCAGGAAGCCCAGCTGCCCAGGCCATCGTCCCTGTCACCATCAGGATTGTGGACCTCAACAACCATCCACCAACATTCTATGGAGAGAGTGGGCCTCAGAACAAGTTTGAGCTGTCCATGTATGAACATCCGCCCCAGGGGGAGATCCTGCGGGGCCTCAAGATCACCGTCAATGACTCTGACCAGGTGCGTGGTCTTGCCCTCAAAGCTAACTGGCTCTGTGTCAACTGTCACTGCCTATGTAGCAGGGGCCAGGCAGATCAGAAAGTGAATGAAACCAAAGGTTATAATCAAGAGGGAGCAGAGGGACAATGCCAATCAAAGATTATCTTCTCAGCATAAAGGAATTCAGAATCAACTAAAAATGAAAAGCCACAGAGAAAAAGAAAATTACGTCATTTGCAAGAAAATGGATGGAACTGTAGAACATCATGTTAAGTGAAATAATCCAGGCTCAGAACATCAAGTGTCATATGTTTTCTCTCATATGTAGACGCTAGAGAGAAAAGGGGCGGGAGGAGAGAGATCTCATAAAAATAGAAGGGAGATCTGTAGAAGAGAGGAAGTGGATCACGGGGAGGGAGGAGGAAAGGGCAAGGAGAGGGCAAAGGAGAGGACACTGAGGAATGAATTTGATCAAATTATGTTGAGATAAAACAAAAAAATATGCTGTGTACATGTACAACTATGCCACAGTGAATCCCACTATTATATATAGTTATAATGTACCAATAATAATTTTTTAAAAAAGCAAAAGCCAGTCAAACAAAACTCCCTGCATCTGACCCTCCAAACAAGTGTTTGCAAATATGTCCTTCCACCCCTATGATCAGCACAGAAACTGGGTCTTATGTGTTTGTACCTTGCTTAATCCTTATAACCTGCTAAATCTTTCTGATCCTTGATCAATGCACCTTTAGAAAGAAAGATGACTCACCTTTCAGGGATAAGGGCATTTCCCTATGCTGAGGGCACTTAGCACCTGAATAGGATGTGTTTCTGTTCTCATTTATCTTCCCTGTTTCCTCTTTCCATGCTCCATTGCCCAGGGAGCCAATGCCAAATTCAACCTGCGGCTGGTGGGACCCAGAGGCCTCTTCCGAGTGGTCCCACAGACGGTCCTAAATGAAGCCCAAGTCACCATTATTGTGGAGAATTCAGACGCCATTGACTTTGAAAGCTCTCAGGTGTTAACCTTTAAGGTAGGTGATGTTTTGCACTGTCTTAAATGGGGAGTGTAATGGGGTGCTCACCCCATTATTGATTTATCCTGAGGGGACTCCTATCACCCCTGTCCTTCCTGGTCCTACTCTTTTTCTCCCTGGCCCTCTGCTCCTCCTGCTGACATGGGGAGAAGGTGCTAGGTCTGGTTGGGGGAGAAGAGTGGCGCACAGACAGCCTCCTACAGACTGCTCATGGCCTCAGCTTCACTGAGCTCCCAGCTCCTAAACCACAACTAGGCCCAGGAATGCAAGGGATGGAGAGTCAGAGAAAACTACCACTAAGATTTGGCCTGTTAGTAGAAAGAGAGAAACCGTTTGATCATCAAGATGTTTTCCCATGTGTCTTTGACATCTGTCATTTATTCTGATAACCACCTTAGCTGAAGAGGGAAAAAATACTTTTTTAATGTCACTTAAAATTAAGTAAAATTATAAATGTATACAAATAATCAATATTACATATTAACTTGTTATATGTTAGTAAAAATCAACAATAAATACTACATTGATATTATTTAAGTCATCATTGCACTTATACACACATATATACCTGAAGCCCAACATCATGTTTAAAAATGAAATATTAAAAGAATTCTATGAACTCTGGAACAAAACATGAATGCCTGCCATCACCACTATTATTTAGCATGATTTTTGGAATAACATTGTTCCCAAAGAAAGAAAAGAAATAAAAGTCATAAATATTAGAAAGAAGAAGCCAAAATTCACATTATTTGTAAGGGATATAATTGTTTCTTTAGAAAATCTAAGAGAAGTAGTTTAAAAACCATTGGAAAAATAGCAGAATAGCTGACATGTTCGATTACAAGTTGATACCCCCAATCAAACAGAGAATATATAATAGAATAAAAGACTTCTAGAAATTACCATAACAAGAAATGTGTAGTATTTAAATGATGAAAAATGCAAAAATTTCATAAAGGGATACAAAAAAGGCAAGATATGTAAAGATGTACCTTGTTTTAAAAATGCAAGTTCTCCTTAGGTTGATATAGAATTCACTATCTCCCCAATTAACTCTGACTTAGAATTTCCTTTGAGAGGAGGTAAGAAAACTTATCCTGGTTTTTATTTGGAGAAATAATAGTCAGAAAATTTGGAATTAGAAAGGAATATATATATATATGCAGATCAGTAGAACAAAAAAAAAACTGGCTCAAATATAAACAGGAGCTGTCTGTGAGGGAGGAATGAGGAGAGATCTTACAGATGGTGGCAGGAATAACCTCTTGGAAGCGGAGAGTAAGAACAGAGACAAGGCAAGGGGTGCTGGACCAGTTCTGGGGAGCACGTGGTGGGAGGGCCCTGTGCAGGTGACTGTCCATCCAGACAAGTCCTCAGTTTTCCCTCCTTCTCCAGCTCCTGGCCATTGAAGTGAATACTCCAGAGAAGTTCAGTTCCACGGCAGATATTGTGATCCAGCTCCTGGACACCAATGATAATGTCCCCAAGTTCACTTCTCACTACTATGTTGCCAGGATCCCTGAGAATGCCCCAGGGGGCTCCAACGTGGTGGTTGTCACAGTAAGTTGGGGACTGGCCCCAGGACTTGGGGTGGGGTAAGGGGCCTTGTAAGTGAGACAAATTCAGGTTCCAGTTTAAATCACAAAGTCCACAGTCATTAGCTGTGACTTTGAGCTGCTTGCCCTCTCTAGCCTGTGTTCCTTCACTGGTCTGTGTTGAGGACATATGCACAGGCCATGGGACCCATCCCGTTCCCTTCCTCATATATAAAGGAGGAATAAATGACTTGAAGATCTGAACCTTTTTGTTCCCCCAACACTTGAGAACTCCCTGGAAGAAAACTAGAGACCTAAGGCAGTCTCCCGTCTCTTGGTGAGTTCCTCTTCAGCTGAGCAAACTCCAGGCCTCCTTGCATTGCCATTGAAAGCAACCCTTGCTTAGGGAGCTGTCAACATGTCCTGACCACAAGACAGGTGCCACTGGAGTTTTCTCTCTTCCAGGCTGTGGATCCAGACACAGGACCCTGGGGCAAAGTCAAATACTCCATCTCTGGTACTGGGGCCGACCTGTAAGTAGATCCAGAACACAGACATAGCCTCAAGCAAGGGATTTATTTGGCGGTGGGAGGAGGTATTTTTGCTGAAGGCAGGAAGAACCTGGAAGCCATGGGAGCCTGGGTTGCGGGACAGTGAGCATTCCAGAGTGCAAGGTGGGTGGTGATGAATAGTGGGAAATAGTACAGAGCCCAAGTCAGAGATTTCTGGGGACTTAATAAGCAAGGTGCTTAGGAGAAAAGAAGGTCATGGTCACTGCTAGAGCTAAGGCAGGAGGCTTTCTGAGCTAGGCAAGCAGTACTGGGCTTGGGGAGGGAGCAGGGTGTTGGAGGAGAGCTATAATTCCCGGTTGTTAAGCTCCTCCTCTCCCATTAGACTGCAAGGATGGAACCTGAGCTGGCAGGATTTCTGGGAGAAGCTTCATAATGCCTCACTGCTGCTTCCTGGAGGCAGCTCATCTGCTTATCGTTGCATGCATGGATGTGTGTACATGAGTGGGTGCATGTGCCAAACACACATATGTACACACATCCATGCATGTGCATACCTGTGCCTGTTCTTTCTATGCCTGCCAGGTTCCTGATACACCCGTCCACTGGGCTTATCTACACCCAGCCCTGGGCGAGCCTGGATGCTGAAGCCACTGCTAGATACAACTTTTATGTGAAGGCTGAAGACATGGAGGGCAGGTACAGCCTGGCTGAAGTATTCATCACTCTACTGGACGTCAATGACCACTATCCCCAATTTGGAAAAAGCATCCAGGAGAAGACGATGGTCCTCGGGTCCCCAGTGAAAATTGAGGTGAGTTTTGAGGCAGCTGAGCTCCCCTAAAAGTCTGGTTCTAGCAGCTGAGAGAGACACTGGAACATAACAATTTAGTTTAAAATAAAAGGTAATGGATTCCTACTAGGGGCAATGGACTTTAAGGTGTTTTACGTAACCTCATTTCCACCTTATCCCAGAAAAATCTTCTGAGAAAGAAGACATTACAAATGGAAAACAGGAAGCTCTAATGGGTTAAGTGTTTATCTTCTCTGAGTTCATATAGCTGGTCTGCCTGCCTTCAGAGCAGTGCTCTGTCTACTGGGCTTCACTGTCTTCCCAATGGCGAAAAAGTATGAGCTCTGAAACCCAATGGAATTGACCTTGGATCCCAATTCCCCTCCTTCCATTTCTACCTTTGGGCAAGTCACTTAGTATCCAAGCTTTCAGTTTTTCATCTATAGTATAGATTCACCAAGACCTACTTCCTAGACTTGTTCTGGCAATGGAACCATACAGGACCTAGCATAGCCCCTCACTCACGGCAGTGCAGACCTTCTATTTTTTTCCCAGCTTAATCCATCTCAATTAAAATCAACCATTTCCAAGCTCCATATTACATCTGGTTTATCCAGCATAGAAAGATATCTTCCCCAGGCCTGGCTTTATCCGTCCCTCTCTGTGCACAGGCCATAGATCAGGATGCAGAGGAACCCAACAACCTGGTGGACTATTCCATCACCCATGCGGAGCCAGCCAATGTGTTTGAAATTGATGCACACACAGGAGAGATCAGGCTCAAGAATTCCATCCGCTCCCTCGATGCTCTGCACAACATCACACCTGGAGGGGACTGCACATGGTCTTTACAAGTGCAGGCCAAGGACCGAGGCTCCCCATCCTTCAGCACCACAGCCTTACTCAAGATTGACATCACAGACACTGAGGTGGGTACAAAGCACAGTAAGGAAAAAGTAGCAGTAGTCAATGGACCTTAAGGTATTTTACATAACCCAGGCCTCTATGACACAAAGGCAGAGGGAGAGAGATCATCTCCTGGCTTCCTCCAAAAGATGCTCATTGCTATCAAAGGCTCCCTAGGCCATCAAACCAATAGCCTTGGGAATCGGACTGAAATTCTAGTTTCAATACCTATAAATAGTGGAACTTCAGGCTTTCCTAGGATTCTGTTACCTTTCCCTATAAAATGGAAATAATGATGCCTCTTCACACAAGTGTTGAAAAGTAAAAGTGAAATAATTATGTGTAGTTGTCTGGCAGAGAATCGTCGCTTTAGGGATTTTTGATACATTTATGTTAGTGAATTCCCCTGTAATCACAGACAAACAATATCCTATGCTTCAAGGACAGCGTCCAGCAAAACAGATGTATCTAAAAGAGGTTGTTGGCATCATGTTCTGCCTGAGTGATTGTCCTAGAGAACGATTTGCATTATGTTCTCTCTCCCTATGTAGTTTTTCTGTAAAGAAGCCCATAGCACTTACTAGATTCTCAAATTCTCTTAAAATACATCAGGCTTGACCTGGGAGTGTAACTCAGTGGTAGAGTTCTTGCTGTGAAAGCATAAGGCCCTGGTTCTATCCCCAGCATGGGGCTGTTGGGGGGGGTGCTGACTCATCCCATCAGGCTTAAGGAAGTGCATGCCCCCACTCTGTCCTCCAGGGACCAGTGGGAACAGTTCAATGCAGGCAACGGCTTTCTCTTCCAGACACTGTCCCGAAGCCCCATGGCTGCCTTCCTGATACAAACCAAGGACAATCCCATGAAGGCCGTGGGTGTGCTGGCCGGTATCATGGCCATTGTTGTGGCCATAACCGTCCTCATCTCCACTGCCACTTTCTGGCGTAACAAGAAGTCCAACAAGGTCCAGCCGGTGCGACGTGTATTCCGCAAGCGTTTCAGACCTGCACCCCGCACTGCCCGCACTGAGTGGCTCAAGTTCAGGAAGGACAAGTCTGCCACCAAGTTCATGCTAAAAGAGGATCCTACCAATGAGAACTGCAATAACAGCACTGGAAGCCCATTGCCCCCCATAGCTCCAGCTCTCCCTCCACCCCCCAGAATGGTGCCCAACACAGTCACCTGCTGTACGGTGCCTACAGTCTCTGGATCCCTCACCCCAGAGAGATCCCAACAGTCACCTCAGTCTGAGGCCTTGGGAAGCTCCACCCAGTTGACTCTGGTCTCTGAGCTCAAGCAAAAGTTTGAGAAGAAAAGTACAAACAAGGCTTACTTCTAGAGAATACCCTGTAGCTCCTTCTTCCCTTCCTACCCAACATAGCCACCCTGCTGATCTCAATGTGCTCCCCTTCCTCTGCTTCTGAAGGTCATCCCTGTTTTGTACCCCATACACAAGTCTCTGGATAGGGCCTTGGGCAAGCAATTTCTCAGGATGCATTTAGCAAATATGTCCCCGTGCCCCCAATCCTTGACAAAGCCATGATGCTCCCCATTCTTCAGAGGCCAGGAGTTGACAAGGAGCTAGCTCTATGCATCTTCTACTCACCAACCCCAGACTTCACAGTTGCTTGGGTCCTACTGGAATCTCATCATAGGGCCTTGGCTATATGTGATAAGCCAACAAGAATCTGGATCCTGAAGCCCATAGCTAAGAGCTTGAGCAGGAAAAGGAGATCTAGTCCTGGCTGAGGCTGGAGGTCAGCAAACTTTACATTCCATAGGAGAGGAAATGCAGGCAAGCAGGGGGAGAAGAGACACTGAAAACTCATCCTGGCTGCAGGGCTCTGCCTGAAGCCACTGAAACACTGAAGCATGGCACCCGGGTGAGATTGTAGACCACTGTTGTGCTCATGTGGGACAAGGGACCTACAGGTATAAGATGGTTTTACCAAGAGTGAAGGCAGAAATGCCTGTCCAGGACTGCCCTGGTCCTAGAAGCTGGAGCCACACTGGGAGCTCTAAAAGTACCCAAAAGAGGGTTGGGACTCCTCTCTGAGAAGCTGCCCCACCAGTCCTCTTCCAAAAGACAGTGTAGGGTGGTAGATAGATATCCGGGCTGAGATCTAAGGGATCTTCTGTTTTTATTCAACTTAGGGAAGCTGTTTTAACTCTCTGATTATCTTCTTCCTCATCAGTAAAACGAAGAACCTCAGCCCCCAAGGTTGTGATGAAGCCTTCAACCAAGTGCAAAGTGGCACAAATGCAAAGTTTTTTTTTATGCAGGCCAGTTCTCTGAGTACAGTTCTTCTAGAAAATATCAGAATCTCTCAGATACACTGGTGGTGTTGTGCTGGCTACCACTGGTCCCCAGAAGCCAGAACCAGATGGCGGCTTTCTGTTTCTGTTCTCCCCTCACCCATTCCACTCTCAGGGAGCACCAGAGCTGGGCAGCAATGTCTAGTTCGAGTCTCCATTTTGCCAAGATAAGGGAAATGAGTTCCCAAGAAAGGCATGATTTGTCCGATGTTGCATAGTGGGTTAGTAGCTGGGATCTGGTCTAAAAGCATTTTCCTGTAGCCTAGGCATACATTGTTAATATGTGACAATGTTCCCAAGAGAGAAACCCTACAAACCTGCTATGGTTAATATACAGAGGTTCTTCCCTGCTTTAAGGAACCTGCCATAAGAAAATCTAGATTTATACACAGATAGAAAAATAGAATTGTTCTTTACATTTTGCCCCACTTGCACAGAAGCCCTCTAGAATATGTCGTGATTTTATGAGAAGAGATTTTATGCTTGTGTGATGTCTGAATCTGTGTTTTGAGGTATAACTCAGATGTGCCAGTGTACAGAGTTCTTGCCAGGGTGTCTTCAGTTCCTAACCCAAACAGTATTAATGAGGGGCAGGCTCTAGCATGTCAGGAGCCCAGACTGGACAGGTCTTTCCAGACTTTTCAGGAGAGGGCTGGGTTGGATCATGTCTGCTCATTGCAGGGAATACAGCATCCTTACAACATGCATGCGGTCAACCTCTTTTGTAAATGGTAAATAAAAGTCTAATAACTCTACAACAATATGACCTCCTGCCCCTGCTTACTTTTGTGTTCATGGACTTGTGGAGACCAGTCTTCCTGACTCACAGCCAAGCTCAGCCTGCCTCCTGGCTCCTTCAGGGGGTATAGCCAACCTGACCCCCAACTAAGGGAGGCTTCAAATTTTTGTCCAAATTGCCTGCATGCACCTCAAACAGCAGCACCTTTGCAGACTTGTCTACCTGACCCCCTCATCCAGGACTTGGATTGGGCTTTTTCCCTAAGTAAGACACACTCAGGCAGGGTTGCTTGGGAAAGAAGGAGATCTGGGGCTAGAAGTAACTACCCCAGTACAGTCCAGCAAGGGCAGGAATTGGGATGTTTGGCATGGGCGGGAAAGCTGGGAAAGCAGTTAATCTCTGGAATGATGGTTGCTAAGACCTCTGAACTGGGAGCTCAGGATAGCAGATGGGTTCTGGAAGGGAGTCGGGCTCCAAGACAAGCCCAGAAACTTGAACCAAAGTAGAGTCGATTTTGGAACTGGCCATGGAAGGAGAAAGGGCCAAGTAGCCAGCATGAGCCACATTGGGACAGAGAAGGAGGGGACAGCTTAACTGAAGAGACCAGTGAATATAGTCAGCACTAGGGTAGACCCTGCCACTGGGGTAGAGCTAACCAAGTCCCACTGACTTAGGGAACAGCAGGGTGAGGGGCTCCTTGCTCAGTCACATCAAGAAAGGCCCAGATCTACAAGCTGGTACAATGCTAGGTCTGTAGGGAAAGAGCTGAGAGGGCAGGTACAGCATCTGGGGAGGGCCTTCCACTCTTGGACTATAAGAATGGAGCATTAGCTCCATGGACAATCAATAGACACTAACTGAAGAAATCTGTAGTTATTTTTCCTTCCCTGTGGCTGAGCTCAGCCTTTCTCGTTATATGAAAAATAAAGTGCTTTTACAGTTTGACAGCCCTTGGTCTGAATTCAGATTCTGCCACTTAAATGTGACAACATAAGCTTATTGCTGTGACAATCACAAGAACTAATATATTCAAAGGACCTGGCACCAGCTTTGTAGCTACTGTCATAGCTCAGAAGACAGTTGCTATTTTTAGTTGTAGAAGAGAATACTTAAGGATAGCTCACTGTGGCCCACCTAGGAGGGCACATTTCCTGGGGGAGAGGGCTTCTCCAAGCAGACCTTCCTGAGAGTGTTTCTACCCAATAATAGGCCTGGAATCCTTCCCTATGTACTGGGAGGAGAGAAGACAGAAGATGGAAGGAGAAGAGAGCTGGGCCTCTGTAAGCTGCAACTTGCAGCTCTGTCCCAGTGCAGAACCCAGCTGGAAAAGTGTGGCAAACCTTCTGCCCCTGTTTCTCCAAGGACATCAGGGATTCTGTATCTCTTTGATAACAGAATATTTTCTCTTTCTTTCTCTCTCTCTCTTCCTTCCTTCCTTCCTTCCTTCCTTCCTTCCTTTCTTCTTTTTTCTCTCTCTTTCTTTCTTCCCCTTTCTTTCTTTCTTTCTTTCTACTTTCTTTCTTTCTTTCTTTCTTTTTTCTCTCTCTTTCTTTCTTTTCTTCTTTCTTTAAAAAGATGGGGCCTAGCTATGTTAACCAAGCTGCTCTTGAACTCATGTGTTCAAGGATTCCTGAACAGCTGAGACTATAGATCCATGACATCACACACAACACAACAGAGGCTTCAAAGAATCCAGAGTGCTGGCTACTAACGGGCAGCAACACTTCTCTGACAGTCTTCAGGGTTTCTAGATGAGGATGGGTTAACTGGGATAATGAAGATGATGTTGCATGAGGACCACGGCAGGCAGATTGGCATGTGGACACAAAGAGGTTCTTTTAGGAGACAGAGGTGTTCTGAAGGGTCTGGATTCCAGAATGAGGTGGTTGTGGCATGAGCCACCATAATATGATTAATAAAGTGGATTAGCAACAGTTTGATGCTGGGAACATTCATGTGACAAGAAATCATGCCAGTGCACTTCTTTTGCTAAATGAGGTCCTGTCACTTATCCAGTACTCAGTAATCCACTCAATCATTCCTGTGGAAACACATGTTCTTAGTCTTATCATCTATGCTGGGCCCTAATCTAGGTGTAAGGTGGACAGGTTCTAAATAGACAGAAGAAAAGAGGAAAAGAACAAAATTCCTTCTGCAAGTTGCTGATAGCAGAACCCTGGAACTAGAGATAGCTCTATTCTAAAAACCAGTAGCCCTACTTATAAATGCCTCCTGTCTTAAAATTACATGATCTAAACTCTAAATGCATAATCTCCCCCAAGAGCATGACAAATGGATCTAAAACTATAACATCCTTCAAACATGAATCGTACAGAAAAGGTGAGGGATATTAGCATAGGTATCATGACATTACATGTATGGATACTCCTTGACCTATGGAGTTTTATCCAAATAAATCCATGTTAAGTTGAAATCATTGTAAGCCAAAAATGCATTTAACACACCTAATTTACTGAACATCGTAGCTTTGCATCACTGTACAGTAGAGTATCAGTGGTTGTTCCCTTCTGATCACCTAATGGGCTGAGAGCTGTGTCTTGCTGTAACATCTCCATGCTGTATATTGCTAATCCAGAAAAAGATTAAAATTCCCGACTGAAGTTTGATTTTTTACTGAATGCATATCACTTTTGCATCATTGCTAAGTAGAAAAATCCTAAATTGAACCATTTGGGACTGTCAATAATGTGAATCTTTAGGATTCTTTTTTTTTTTTGGTACTGGGATTAAACCTAGAGGTTTAACTACTGAGCCACATTCCCAGCCCTTTTTATTTTTTATTTTGAGACAGAGTCTCACTAAGTTGCTTAGGACCTTGCTAAGTTGCTGAGGCTGGCTTTGAATTTGCGATCCTCCTGCCTCAGCCTGCTGAGCTGCTGGGATTACAGGTGTGTACCCCACACCCAATTCACTCTAGAACTTTTTAAGAGGCTCCCCACAGATCTCCAAAAGGATAGTATTCCCAGAAATCCACTCTAGACCAGATTCCTCTTCCCTAAATGTCCATATTCACAGGAGCAGCTGAATACAGCTTCTGACCAACATGCTTCCGACCCACTTCCAGGTTTACTCCTCTTCCATGCCCCTTCTTTCCTCCTGCCCACCCTGTTCCATGCCCACCTCCAAGCCCCCTTTGGCAGAGGAAAATCAGAGCGTCCATTCTCACCTTCATGGTTGCACCAAGCTATTTCATGATGGCTGAATCCTCGGTCCTGTGGAAGGAAATACTCAGAGGCCAATACAAATACAAGTTCCTGCCTCACTTCAGCCACTTACCTTTAAAATATACCTCAGGAGTCTCAGGAAAATAGAAGGGAGACCAATAGTGTAGAGGAAGGGAATGAGGGGGCATGACAAACTACTGAGAAACAAAATCTATCAAAGTATAATATGTCCATGTATGAATATACTCCAATGAATCTCATTGATATATGTGTGTGTATATATATGTATATATATATAAAATTATAATGCACTAATTGAAATAATAATAATAATAGTAGTAGGGATATCAGTAGAGTAGAGCAAGTGGATCTGGGATGGAAGAAAGGAGGGAAAGGAAAGGTGCTGGAGAATGAGATTGATCAAATTATGTTATGCACATGTACAAATATGGCATAATGAATCTCACTATTACACATAGTTATAATGCACTAAATTATAATTTTTTTGGAAATAGAATTTTAATTTATATATACTCAGAGAAAAGAAAAAGTCCTATAAAAATTACCATATGAAATTTATTATAAAGAAATTCTCTATTATATATATGTGTTATTGTGCACATGTACATATCTAAGTGTATATGCATTTTTTGAAAAATATACATTCTAAGGAGCAATAATAGTGTTGTCTTGTGTTTTTTTAGAACTTAATTTGTTAGAGAACAAACTAAAATATTTACATATAAGTAGGTGAGAAGCTTGTATTTACTTTAAAATATTTTAAAATCCCCCAAAAAATAAAATAAAAAAAGGTTAAGGGTAAGGACCAGATGAAATAAGACCAGAAAATGTTAAAACTTGTTGAAGCTGACAGATGGGAAGGAATGAGATTCTCTCTACTTTTGATGTGACTGTAAATTCCCATTAAAAATTGTTTTTTTCTTCTAGTGTCTAAAAGAATAAGTGAGAAGGACCTGAAGGAATGATGAACAATTGATCTGAATATGAGTGTTGTCTTTGTTTTAAATTTATTTCAAGCTGGGCACAGTGGTGCACACCTGTAATCCCAGGTACTTAGGAGCTTGAGGCAGGAAGATCGCAAGTTCAAGGTCAGTCTGAGCAACTTAGTGAGATCTTGTCTAAAATACAAAGTAAAAAAGGACTGGTTATATAGTTCTACAGCCTAACATATATAAGGCTGTGGGTACAATCTTCAGCACCACAAAAAAATGTTTTAAATTATTTCAACCAACACTGATTATCAGAAAATTCTGATATTGGGTGAACCCAGTGGCCAATGTAAGGAGAGTCAGCCTCATAAATCATTGAACTTTCCAGGTTTAAGTTTCTTTCCCTATAAAAGGGGATAACTACCTACTTTTACAGAATAATATATGCAAAATGTTACATGTAAATATTACATGTAAACATGGCCTTAGCTCCATGAAGATAAAGACTGTGTCCTGGTTTTCACTGTTGAACCCAATCTGTCAAGTTCCGTTCCTGGAACACTGTAGGTGCTCAACAATACTTGAATAAATGGATGAGGCTCAGTTGAGCTGCCATGGAGGGTTGGTTTTAGGGATTGGATTAGCCCCACATCACCCCTTGGCAGGCAACAAAGCACTACCTAAAAAAGGATTAATCCCAGTTTCCTCAAATAGGCAGACACTGGCCTTCCTTGCTATGGTTACTGTGCCCATCCAGTATCAGAATTTGTTCACAATCTTGGTTGAAGTAAATTTTGTCCACATCATTTCCCACCCCTTGACCTGGGTTGTTAGCCACTGTCATCTTCTTTCTCCTCATTCCCTTTCATGTGTCTGTGGCCATTGCCATCCT